GTCGAATAAATTCAGCCCGGGGGTGCGGCGTGGCCGGCTCGCTCCCTCTAACACTGGATTTCATTAAAATTCATTCGGCGCGGCAAGCTGTCACACGACCGGCACGGATGTACAGACGGACGCGCAAGCTAATAGGCTTACCCTGTTACTACAAAAGGCATCGGCCGCCTTCCCCCGCGTTGTACGCGCCCCGATTCTATCGCGTGACCGCGCAAATTAAATATAAATAATGTATATTTTGTAGACACATGCGCGCGAGACCCGACCGAGATCGCCCGAGGTGTCCTACCTGGTCTAACGGGGTTTCCGTCCCCGGGCTAACCGATAATTACTCCACCGGGTGACTCTCGCCTCTGATTAATCCCTGATTAATCGACGATTTATCGCTGACAATCAAATGTTATCTGCACTGTCTCACTGACGCAGATAGGAATTGTGAATTTTTCGAATATCGTCGTCGACGATTTACACGTGTCGAAATTTCGACTCCGTGTTACACCTTTAATTCTACGACGCAGCGGGAGCCAAGATTTGTCCTTTTATCTGAAGGTAACTGGAAACAAAGCTGAATCGCGTGCGTGCAACGATAAGCTTAAACAGCGCCGCAACTTTCACTTCCTCTTCCGCGCCGTCCGACAAATTAGTACCGACGGTTGTCGAAAACTCGGCTCAGCTACCTGCGCTTCATGCACTGTGTACGTGCGCGTCAATCACGTATGTGGCGCAGCCTGAACTCTACCTCGGAGGATTTTTGCTCGAGTTGTCATTCGCACCGCTCGGAAAAATGCTGTTTCGGGAAAACGACCTTTCGCGAGGTAACTTGGAAATTTTCACTCGTACCTTCGCTCGTGTTCTTCATCCCTCTTCTCATCAGCGTCGATTTTTTGCAGCCTCCGCTGTCCTTTGATCAATCGAGCCTCCTTCGCTCACACGTCCCCGCGATCATCCCGGGCGCGTCGAATCAATCTTCTCACCATCAAGTGCGTGTGAGGGTCAATAAAAATATCCATTATCTTCGTAATCCGCAGTAAGGATATAGATTCTCCGTGCTGAAAATGCAGACAGCGATATCTGCGGCAGCTCAAACTGTTTTCCACCCTCGAGTGACCGCTTCGAAGCGATTTTCCATTTTGAATTTTAGTTCGGCATAAATTTCATATTACTCTTAGAACATTGAACTATCTACTCATCGGGAAAAGAGGGTTTTTAAACTCTCACCTTGGTGTAACCTTAATTTTACAGTGTTTTTTCTTTTCCATAAAAAGGTCCGAATAATTTGGACAAATTCATTTCAACACTGCGAAACGAAATCTACCGCGAGGTTTTTTCTTCATTTTTCCACGCGAAATCAATTATTTTCTCGTCAATTTTGGAGACGCCTCTAGTAAATCTCGCCATGCCGGCGCTAAGTTGCTAAACTTCTCGTTTTTAATTACTTTAACGCTAATAAATCATGTTTCTTTTTTTTTTATCGGAAACCATTAAGACATCGTCACAATGTATGCTCCAGCGGACAAAACCAGCCGGTCATATTTTACTATCGCAAGTATCACGATTTGCGCTCACCCCCTCGGAGCCATAAATAATATTTCTGTCGGTGGCCAGGTCGGCGTTTTCCCGCAATTATTGCGTCTCTCATAACCGACGTCATAATTCTATACCGTAACGAGGCCATTCGTAACCCTCCAATTCCACCTCCCTCTGCCCTCTCCCTCTCCCCTCTCTATCCCGCCGTCCGCCTTCCACTTTTCCACTTCATACTGACATTTTTTACGCACGTGCAACCTTTTATGAGTGACAGCAACTAATGGTAGCGTTGCAACAAATGGGCGGCAAAGCGATAAATAAATGTAACGGCGGCGAAATGATAACAGCAACGATGATAGACACGTCGCGATCGCGATAAGGTGTATTTCGTTTGAAGCCGCTTTTGCAGATCGCGCCAGCGCGAAATTGCACCTTGCATCGGGCGAGAGAGAGAGAGAGAGAGAGAGAGAGGGAGAGAGAGAGAGAGAGAAAGAGAGATTTGGTATATTAAATTAATTAGTTAGGTCAGGGCGAGAGGAATAAGAATTGAAATACGTCAGATTGCATTATTTGTCAGATGGTTCGCTACAGCGGAACTTATTGATACAAGATCCACCTGATGTTCGACACTAACCCATTTATGTCCATCATGGCAATTAGAAGCCTCACAGGAAATGGATTAGTATCCAACATCGTAATATTAATTTAATCAGACTTTTATATCCGCGAATGACCCGAATACGTTCTCCAATATCATTGAGTTGATTTATCACCACTCATTTGTCCAATTTGCGAGAATCACGGCGAAAATTTCGAGACTTCAAAGATACACCGCACGAGTTACGGAAGGGATGAATTTAAATCCCGTTCAAGCGATCAGGTCCGTGCGTCGCTTCGAGAAGTAATTTATTAATTTATCACGCAAACCGTGACGGTTGTTACTGTAATCGCTTCATCGCGTGATTCGGCGGACTCTAAGGGGGGAAAAGGGGGCGATAAAAGAGGAAGTGTCCGCGATACGTCGGCGCACTCCCGAAATTTTTCGAAACGTGAAACGCGCATTCGCGAAGCCAATGAAAAGCGACGCGAAAAGCGCGTTCGTAATAAAAAGGAGCGCAAACGGAGGCATTCGTGTGCCCGCATCTCCGGTATTTATGGCAGCCACGGGTTCTGACGTCGTAAAATCGCGTGCGTACATTCCGCATCGCGATACCGTAAAATGGTCGGGGTAACCGTGCGAGCGAAATCCGTTCATGTATTATGACCGTCGCGATGTTTCGTATCTCGTCGATGTCGCGATAAGTATTTAACGCGTTAACACACAATCACCGATTGCTCATGATATACTACGGCTCGTCGTTAATAGTCGTTACCTGTCTCACTATGAAATACTCGCAGCTGAATTTAGCTTCGGAGGTCGGAATTTTTCAGTCGAAACGTGTAATGTACGTGACGTTTTGTTCGCAGTCGCGATTCCATTTGGAAAAGCTCGTGTCTAATTTTAAACTGAAATCTGAGTAATTTTCACTTGAGACAAGTTTCAAGCAGTTAATATTAATGCTATTAATAAGGGTCTATAATTGTGATATACGATTGTTATTCTAACAGTAGAACAATCTTCAAAGTTATCGAAATAGTTTCGGCTATATATCATTGTGCGATACGTAACGCTTGCTCTCTATCTCTCTATCTCTCTCTCTCTCTCTCTCTCTCTCTCTCTCTCTCTCTCTTACGTACCCGATTTGATCTGTTCACTTGTTTCTTTATCGGACAGTTCCTCACTCACCTAATAATCATCTAATAGTGTTCAATACACAGTTTACCTAATTGCATAATTGCACTTACGCGTAAAACAAACACGCATGAATAAATGAATGAATTATTTAACGTGTCCGCTCATTCGATACGGCGATTGTATTGATTCGGCATTGAATTAAACAGCAGATTGGAGCGTATCGCGAATTACAGACGTATAATTATTTTAGACGCAGTATTAAATGAACTCGAGGTTACGCGATACGTACATTTAATATATCGGCCCGCGAAGAAATGCTCTCTCTTTCTCACTCTCTCTCTCTCTCTCTTTCTTTCTCTCCCAAAGGAAAAATCCCAGGGTAACTCGATCTTAATTTGCGGGGACCGCATTACCGGATACAATCTTGAATTATTCAAACCTAATTTATTTTACTGCGCGCCTCCACCTTCGAAGCTTTTAAAGCAACAATCGCTTCGGCTTCCTTAAAGCCGACGCTTTCCAATTTTAGCGAAATTCTTCGTGAAACCAGACGACGGAGATGACGACGATAATTGACACACCGCGAAAGCAACAAACGATATACGTGTATTAACGATCGGACAGCCGCAATTTTTTTTTGAAGAAGAAGAATTTCGACCGTCGCCGGCGGAGAGCTTCGCTTGGACGGTAAAGAGACAAATATCCCCTCTGCGAATATATCGGCGCATCCAACTTTATGTAGCTCCTATAAAATTACAAAATTGCAAGCCGTCATCGAGAAATATTTCTTTATAAGACGATAGAGCCGCTCGCGGAATAAAGTAAGTCACGTGCTTTGCAGCGGCCATCGGCGTTTAAATTTAGTCGAAGTGAAAATTTATCGCCGACGAATTGAGCGCATGCGAATGTTCAGCGCTCTTTTATTTAATTCGCAACAAATGCACTCGACTTATAAATCTTTCCCGCGAGTGGGGGAACACGGGCATAACTTCTTTTAAGAGATATTCCCTCTTTCCGTTAAACAAAGCGGCGAAGGTTTCGCCGGAGGAGAATGGACATTTTTTTTTCTTCATACAAAATAAAAGCGATACGCGACGCTCCATTGCCGTGCTCTCTCCTTGTTCTCTCGTTTTCTCTTTATCCACCTCTGCCCTCTTGTTTTTTCTTACATATCGCGACAAAGGGAAGCTCTTGGAAGATGCTCTCGCGGCGGAATTCCCGACAGTCTGTAAACCGTGTCTAATGCCGCGCATTTATTCCGCCGCGTCTCCAAATGCACTTAAAGAAGCGCGCTCGTTTGCGAATGCGATTTATTCGACAATTGCTCATTTGCAAGGTCGTCGATGACGCGATTGTTGACGGAAAAGCGAGCGAGCGAGCGGCGCCCGCGAATCGACGCGTTCAAACGACAGAACCAAGAGAGAGAGAGAGAGAGAGAGAACGCATAACAACGCGTTGCCATTAGTTAATACAATCCCCGAAAGCGTCCTCGCCCACGAAATTTAATTGGCCGACGTCTCTTTTAAACTCTCCATGTCAAATGCCTAGTCACGCCGCGATATATCGAAACACACTCGTCGCTCTCTGTTAATTTCATCTCTCGCAGCCGAACGATAACACAATAGTTCCGAGACGCTGTGTTTACCGATCTGACGTGACACGTGCGCGCACACACACACACACACGTACACGCGCGCGCGTATTACGTGTATTTTGCAAAATGTTCCTGTACTTGCAGTTACTACGCGTCGACCGCATTTCCACCACGCTTGGCGCCGCCATTGAAGCGACCGCGCCTGATGCCACCGACACGAGCGCAGCATCCGAAGCTGCAGAAACAGCAACCGACGGCGAACACCAGCACAGTGCCCGACTTGAATCAACTTAAAGTATACAGTAAGTGCTCGCGTTTCAAGCTACGTGACGTCACCGACGCCCAACGAATCCCTTCGAGTTCGATCGTCGATCCTGAGAGTCTCGCTTCCTCCTCTCTCGTTAACACGTTGAGCGCCGTGATGGCCGCCGGCACTGCCTTGTCTTATTTAAGCTAGATATAAAGTAACAAACGTTTCATAGCTTCGGATTTAGAATCAATTGAGCTACGCTTCGACGAATGTAATCGTGTAGTTCTCAATTAAAAATATTGATCGTTGACTGAGTTATTATACAAAATGTAAACAGAGGGTCTTTAAAATACAGCTTTTTCCTCCACCGTATTTTTAGTATTTCAATTATCAGTTAGACTTTTGTTACAATCAATGAAAGCCAGCTCAGCAGTCAACATGTTAAGGTCGCCGGTCTCGGCTCGTTCTACATCCTGTCTTGTGCACCGATCATCAATCACTGACCGCACGAGGCGATGATCGTAGAAACGAGGTTCGTGACTTACAGCGAGGACCAATAATAAAAAGGCTCCGTGGTGGCTCCATTGGCCCTTCTTCTTGGTTGAACGTCAAAGAAGCCGATACGAATTTTTTTGTTCTCAATTCACCCTCGCAATCGTGCTACCGTCACTCTTCCTCACCGGGCGATGAAGGTTAGTTTTAATCGGAGGTATGTTGTAGGCAATCCGGACATACTGATCTGCGGCAACTGCAGGGAGATGTTCACGGAACTCGGGGAGCTGTTGGAGCACAAGCGCAACTATTGCAAGTTGCGGTTCACATGTAAATGTCACACCTTCAACGGAGCCGCCCCAAGTATGTACTCGAAATAAACTTCGAAGCGTCTCCTTCCGGTACGTAAACGCGCTCCGAATCCCACCGGAAGATCCAGAATTAGTATGATTAATCTGTCCAGTTTATCTCCCCGTCGGTTTTACACGGCGATCAGATTAATTCGTCGACTTCGCTCGCGCGGGGTCGATTCCGACAACTTCTCGCGGATATCGCTTCGGCGCGACGCACTGCGATCGCAAACGCTTTGTCTAAATAATCGAAGGGCGGTTCTCACTTCGTCAAACTTTTATATGTGTGCTCTTTTCTTCCCCCTGCTCTTTCTTTCCACCTCACACACGGCGACTTCAACCCGGACGAGCTAAAGGAAGGACGAAACGAGGCGAAATCATGTTACAGGTCGAATTTTAATTAACTTATCGCGACTTACTGTTCCGATCGGAATCTATGCCGCTTCTGGGAAAGTCCTGAGAAACTTCTATGCGAATTATTACGGAACATTCGAATCAGCCGGAGGATTCGTTCTCCTCCGGCGGAGCGATTCCCGGCGCTTTCACGGTGCACCTTTAGTATGTACCGCACGCGACACGCTCGGAAACTTGTCGGGAAGTCCGTCGGGCGACCCGCAATTTATCTGTCGCGCGATGAACGATCGCGAGGCCGGAGGGGGGAAAGGGGGAGGAAACGTTTCCACGGAGTTTTTGTCTCGTATCGTTCGGCTCGCCGCGCGATTTCTCGATGTCCTTAACTTATTTATCGCCTTCCGGCTCACGCGCGAACAGGAGACTCGACGACGTCGCTGCTCTGCGTCCTCTGCAAGCTTTCCTTCCTGAGCGCTTGGGAGCTGATGGTCCACGCACAGGCGGCCCACATGATCAACATCTACGAGCTGGGCACAAGAACGGCGAGCCCGGCGCGAAGTCCTAGCCTCGACCAGCCGAAGGAGTCGTCGCCTTCCCCGCAAGATTTCCAGGTCAGCACTCTGCTCTATCTATGGTTTCAAACCTCGGGAAAACCGGGCTTTTCTCCAGTTTTTCTGCGGACTTTTCTACTTTTTTTTTTGTTTTTTTGGTTTCATACCTTCTTTACGGGAAAAAAGTCGATGTAGCAGGTTTTAACCGGACACACGCGAATATTTCGGGACGAATTTTCCTATCCTTGGGATAAAAACCGTAGAAATTCCCAGAAAAGTTGAGGAAGACCCGTTTTTTCCGAGCTTTTAAAATTATAGTTCCATTTCTCTCTCCCTCCCTCTCTCTCTCTTCTTCTTTTTTTGATATTTTATCCCGAATCTTACCTCCTATCGGAACTTTATCATTCATGGCAGCGTCGCTCCGCGATATTTCGCGAAACTATGCGACCCGGACCGAAGGATCAACAACTTTCGCCTTTTAGAAGCGGCGAAGGGGTGCTACATGCATCCCTCGGAGCACGAGCTCGGAAGTCTCGTCTTGTCGTTGACCCACATTTCACCGGCGAAATGTGATCGAAATTATCAGTCGTCTGTGTAATTTCGATGCTCTCCGCGCACGCGTGTGCACGTCAATGCGATTTATTTTATATCGCGAGTCATTTTGTCCCGTGATTAATAAATATCGATTTATTCTTGCGCTTTCTAATTATACGCAATTACGTTGCGTTATTATTTACTTACAGCGCGTAAATGATCGCGCGGTGAATTAACGAGCGCGTTAGCCCGTGTCGCGTTACCTCTCGCGAATCGCGTTTTATATTCGTTATTAACGCAACATGTCCGCGATTAATCGCGACATCGCGCGATATCCGCCGGAGAGATTCCTTTTTTGCGGGTCAACTCACGTTCGGTCTATTTGTCAGCAACTAATTAACGAATTACCGGAATTGTTTTACCGCTGACGCGCGAGCGAGCGCGTGCGCGCATTTTTCGGATAATTAAAATGTGAATTTACGGAAGTATTCGACTCTATCCCCCCCCCCCGCCGTCCTCCTTCCTGGATGCGTAATTATCTGATACGGTTCGACGAGGGCCGATCACCACTGAAATAAGTAACATTCTCTCACTTCCGTTAATTAATTCGCTTTCGAATACCAACCGACGATTAAATTACTTACTCGAATACGGTATCGACGCGACTCCTCCCGCGGATCCTTCTCACCGAATTAATTATCCTTCTTTAAATCCATCCTTCGCACCTCCGCTTTCCCACGTCGCCCAATCAACGCGCGCGATTTTCCGTCAAATTTATCGGCGCGCGGTCGAGAGGACACTCCGGGCGACAAAGAGACGTCGCGACGCCTCGCGTTGCCTGAGACACGAGATACATCTGTGAACGACGTCGACGATGTCGACGAGGTGGACGACGACGCAGACAGTTCTTCCCGATGACGCTTGACGTACACAATTTCTACGAAGTTGTGCGGAAGCGGGGGCGAGGGGCGTGCTTGCACTCAGCAAAAGCAACCCTAGTGACCGACGCGGAACACGTCGATTCCATCGAGGCTAACTCTGGCTTTGACGTATCGACAGAGAAATATATGACGAAGTAATATTTTTCCGTGCCCCCTCGGGTGATGGCATTTTCCCTTCACTCGCCCATCATCTCCCCTTAACAGTTTTCCCATCAACAGATAGCAACGCCGAAAAATCGTACTTCTGACCTTTTTTCTATTTTTTTTTATTTATTTTTTTTTAATATCCCGGAAACACGCAATTCGCGTTTCCTCGAGGTTTCGCCGCGGTGCACGCGCCCCCTGCACCGGGGATATTGAGAGCAGATAGCATCGCCCGGCGATCTTTCGTCGATGAAAGACTGCTCGAATTGAATCGCGTTACGATTCCGCGAAATTCAGCGCATCGGTGATTAATAGAGAAGTGCGATTCACTCGCGAGATTTATTTAGTTTCACAGGCACGATGTTGTGTGTGTGTGTGTGTGTGTGTGTGCGCGCGTATTGAATACGCGTCATTGTTCAAACAAAGCCCGCCTTTTGAAATAGTGTATTATTCTTCGACGCTTGACATCGCGACAGTTATTATAAGCGTATGCCCGAGTCGAAACCTGGGCTCTACGTTAATACAAAAGAAATATGTTATTTGATGTAAAGATATTTATTGTTTGAGAAACCGAACAATCTTGTTTGTTGAGTCAAACGTTCGCTTATTTGCTCCATTCCAAACGGCAAATTTGTACCAATGCGAAAAATTCGATTAAATCCGGAGAAATCTTTTTCTCCGTATAGAATTCAAGAGAGCAAAATTAGTTCACAATTTCAATTCTAGTAATATAATTCTGCTCTGCGACCCCGATGGTGTCTCAAATTTCCGTTTTCCCTATTTTAGCGTCAGGATAGGCTATCTTATAGTAGCATCAAAATTAAATCTGCACAATTATAGATTCAAGAGAAGAATTAATAAGTATTATTTTCGTCAAAATAGGTTTTCATTCTTCTATCTAAGCTGGCGCAAAATAACTTTAAGAGCGTCAGAATACCATCGAAATTTCGACCCGAACATCCGTTTGAATTGTGATCAAAAATGTCACCTTGTCGAAATTTTACACGTATAATGTTTTTATCGAGAATAAAACCCTTTCCTCTCTCTCTCTCTCTCTGGCGATAATTACGAGGCGTCGCGCTCGTTAACTGACAAAATCCCGGCGGCGCGCGACATCATTACAATTTCCCGCGGCGATCGCTGCGCGCTTCCTTTCGAGGATAAATGATCCCGCGTTTGAGCCGACGGATACGTTCGTTAATCGGTTTTCCGTCCGCGATAATCTCTGCGCGCCGGTACTGATCTACGGGATCTATGACAGGAAATCAAGGCTACGGACTGCGAGGAGCGCGCGGAGGAAGAGGAGCTTGATGGACACGAGTTAATACCGTCCCCTGACAGTGGCAAGTCAACGGACAACGAAGCGGCTCTGTCGCCGATCAAGATTCGATCCGACGTCAACGGCTTGGATCACGAGGACTGCGACGAATTGATCCACGTAGAGAACACCACGCAGGCGTGCATCATGCATGCTCTCAGTATTGTAAGTAATTCCTTTCAAGCTCCCGTCTCTCGCTATACAGCCTGAAAATCGACGGGGGCTTTTGAAAAAAGAATTAATGGGAATAGAATTGGTAAGCTCTTCACATGACCGCAGGCTCTTACGCAAAATGCGTCCGAACTCGTGATTGAAGTCGAAAGGAAGTAATCTTCTTTGAAAAAAGGTCGAAGGGAGCAGCCCGAAAAAATTTTAATATATTGATCAGTTATTTTAACTTAATATAAAAATGTTAATTAAGTTAGAATTAAGGCATTTTAAATTATCTAGTTTAAGTTAAAAGTCAGCTCATTTGAAATAGACCACATTAAGTTAAAAACGATTCAATTTTTAACTTTTTAACTTGGCTTTTAACTGAAGAACTAGTTATTACTCAATCCTGCAAATGAGAAAAAGAGACAAACATATTTTATTCACCGGTAAATAGACCGCCGAGCCAGAGACGCACAAAATCGGATCACATCGTGTCACACGATGACGGAAACAGCGTCGTAGACCACGTATCTCATGGTGAGGATCGTAAAGAGCGTAAAGATCGTAATGGATCCAGCATGGCGGCCTTAATGACCGGTCCTACTCTCGCACAACAGTTAAAAGCAGTCATCCACGAGGGAGAATCGTTCTTCTCGGGTGCATATTAACGGCGGTGTCGTAAATCGGTGTTGTCGGCGCCAACGAAGACGACGACAACGGCGACGACGGAGATGATGTCGTCGCGATACTTTTTTTTTTCCCCGCTCGATAAATCACACCACTCCAATTTCTGCCGACATTTGCGAACGAATCTCGAATTCAGATTTCAAAATCCCCCAATATTTCCTAGAAATTTTCTGGTTTTCATTTTATATTAACGTTGAGTAAAACATATAAAAATAAAAGGATAAAACACTTTGAGTGTTTACACACTTGACAAGTATGAATATATAAAAAGCTTAAATCTCAAGATATTCTATAAATAATTTTTTTTTTTTACTTTTATTTCCTATACCGAATTCTTTTGTCTCAAAATATGTATGTGTTAATAAAATTAATTATCAAAGTTATAATTGTTTAATTACCTCTGTTACAGGATTCGTCCTTAGAACTGAATTCTGACACGAGCTCGAGAGTAACTTCCGGAACAGTAATGGCCTTGACCAATGGATCATTATCAGCGAAGGAATAAACGAGAGAGGAAGAGAAAAGGAGTGAAAGAAGAGAGGAAAGAAATAATTAAAAGAGAAGAAAAATAGAATATTCATCGGAACGGTCTTCCCCGGCCAACCAACGAGACATATCGATCTCCTTTAAGGATAACGCACCCGTTTGTATATAGCTTAATTGCCTAACAAATTATTCAGGATCGCTAGATCCAGTGATCTATGCCGGCTAGTCGAGTATCGATCATCTTCCCGAAACAAAAAAGATATCGATTCCGTTGTGGACTTTTTACACGCTCTTGCAGAATTTTATTAAGAGAATAAGTCAATTTAATTAAAATGAAACCAGAATAATCTCAAAAGTCGTGTTGGATTTGGCCCATTTAATTATTTCAATTTCATTCTAAACGTTCGTTCTACTAAAAAGATACTTTTGATTTCACTCTTATGTCGATTGAAATTGCTGATAAATAATAATCGAATAGTAATAAATAAAAAGATTTTAAAAATGTAAGAATTTTTTGGAGCTCTTTGGTATTTAAGCGAGCTTGATTTCGAGAAAATTCACACGTACTATCTTCAACACACATCCGCAGATTTATAAAGCTTTACAATGTCGCCCAGTAATTTCCATTTGTTCCTCTTGAAATACACCGTTAATACGTAAGAGCTTTAAATTTTGTAACTCTTGAATTTCTAGATTTTAAAATACCGTTTGTCTAGTTCCTAGGTACTTTCCGATATTTCCGATATCGCGAGATTCTCAATTCTTGGAATTGTATATTTATATGAATTCGCATATCTTCGATTTTGAGCATATTAAAATTACAAACGCTTATTTTGTCGTCTCGATCGCGAAGTGTCGAAGATGAGGGTATTCGAGGACATAATATTAGCCAAATGGAATCATCGATGGGTATAATGCTTCGAAGTGTCAGGAATTATTTATTTACCAGTCATTACCTTAAGTGGCCACCGATTGATTTCCTTCGACGATCATTTTTTATAACATCGATAATACCGGTAAATAAATAATCCTTGAATGTTGGCGAAATCGTTTGTTATAAGAAAAAGGAAAAGATACGTCTTATACAACTTCCTTTCGTAGCAGTCGCACATGCGTGTGTGTAGATTAAGTATAGAGATTAAGTCACTTTAATTATTTATAAATGAACATATCTCCCGATACCAAACAATGCTGTCGGTGGCGGTCCAGCAAGTAATCTCTCTAACGCGGATTTGAACAACGAGAAATCCCAAGCTTGCCGCTATCGTCGTGCTGTGCAGATTTCTTTCGTCACTTCTCCCGATACCTCACCATTCGCGCAACGTCGTGTAGGCGACGCGCGTGTATCTATCAAAAATCAAAGTCGATCATATGCGTATGAGCGCGTCGAATAAATTATCAAACGGCCGACCCGCGCTTTATCCTCGGTTAGTTCACTCTTGCGCTCGATGTCTCGCTGGTGGTTCGCCATCGACAGCGCCTGTAGCATATGCATATCAAAGATCTAGACGTCTCATTTCTTGATACAGCCCGTACCATTCGTAAATGCATCACGATTGCGAGGAAAAGATAAAGAATGAAAGAAAGAAAGATAGAGGACGCCATCTTTACGACAGCCGGAAAGAAATGGAAATATCAGTCGAGCTTTCACTCGAGGCCTGACGCGCTTCTCTTCCTGCGTTTTTCTCTCTGTAAAACGAACAGAACGATATTTATTATGTCACGACTAGATGATAGCGACGAGAGTTATTTGTTTATAGCCCCATATATAAACAATGTTTTATGGATCATTAATATCTGAATAAAATATATTACGTCTTTTAAAAAAGAAGCCGCCTTCGAAATCTTTCCTTCTATTCTCATCATGCTGCCGCGAATGATCCTGTGCTCACGTCATTACAGCGATTCTATAATTGACGTGTAGAAAATAACTGGACGTTAGGCTGCCATTTCTCCCGTTCTCGAGTCGCTTAATTACGATCGGGACGCACACACTCAAACTCCGGCCATCATTGTGTACGTCTCTTTGCTTCGGGTGAGAAAATGCAAATGCAGCTTCCACGACGTAGACAATTAGATCACAACTACTGGGAGCTTGAGTTAGGGTCGTAATTTCCCGTGAAAAGTTTCAAGATCCAAAGATATATATATATATTTAATGGGGCTCGACCGTATATGAGAAATAAGGAGGAGATACCATAATAACGGCCTACTTCATCACGGAGCCGACACGTCGAGCAATAAACAGGCCGAAACAGCGCGCGCATGGGCGTTAAAAATTTCAGACACGGTTAAAAATTTCTGGCAGTCGTCCCGGCGTTTCGTACCGAAACGATGGAAGGTACTATCGCAAGCCTCGGCCGACGGAGAAAATAAAAGGCAGAATGATTCGCTGATGATCCGCGAATGGGATTCGCTCGATCGAAAACGTCCGTATAAATGAAATTCATTTATTTACACAAACATTCCTGCCTCTTTAATCGCCTGTTCTAACTCGAGGTTGGTCTCGAAGTATGCACGGTTGAAAGATTGATTCGTAGATTGGAAACATCATACGGTATACATGGTGGAACCGGAACCAGCAATAAGCTTAATTTCACCGGAAGCGCTTTCAAGCAATTTCGGGCAATTCTCTGGGTTATTTACAATCAAGTTTTCCCGAGCGGAAATATCGAGGAATCAATAATTCGCGCGATACAAGCGGTCGAAAGAAGAACGGGGCTTTCCATAAACTAAATTTCCAGCCGCTAAATGGACGATAAAATGATTTTTCTTCGATCAATTTCAAGCGGATTTCACTTTAACGCGAATCTTAATTTGGGCCTTGGGCTACGTAGACACGTTATATGTTGAAAATTAAAAACGATCGCCGTAAATAATGACCTCCCCACATGCTCGCCGAGAAAAAATTGTCTCCAAATTGCTCAGAGAGCCACTCGGTAAAATTAAGGTCGCGAGTTTCGGGACACCGTGTATATATAATACACACACACAACGTGCGCGATATACATGCACTGTGACGTTCTCCATCATTTGTCTATGGCGAAGAAAGGGAAGTAAGGAAGGAGTGGGAAGGAGAGAGATGTTTTTATATGAAAACGAGCCGTGATGGCTGCTTGGTTTTTAACGAGTAATTAGCAGGCAGCGGCTGATTGCGACTAGTTTTAACGACGCACAAAATGTGCCGAAGGGAAAGAAATCCCGCGCTTCTTGACGCGTTGTCTCTCCGTTTGGCACGTTTCGCATCCCTTCGAGCGACGCCTAATTACCGCGGAATATCGCTACATCGTGGGGGCATTACGACGCTTTCCGTGGTCGTTTCCCCTTCAGCCGAGAGGCTCGTTACACGAAGACTTTACCGTTCCGTCGACCTCTCGACTTTTCGTTTAGCAAGTCCGTTGTTCCCCCAATTAAGGGAAGAGAACTGCCTCGCTTGTGATTTCGCGAACAACAGCGGAATTCTTTCCACTCAATCCTTTTCGTTCGCAACGAGTCTCTCCGCGGAGAAACACCGTCTCTATGCACGTTAATCATATTCGAGTTAACAACAAGAAAGAAGAGACGAAATCGTGGTGAAAAGAAAAAATATCCTACGCGAGAAACATGTTCCGTCTTAACGCGCAGGGAGACTTCGTTACAAAGCGATAAAGGAGATGCGCGACGACGAGCTTTCTTAAAATCAGCAGACGAAACGTGGGAGGTCAGAGCTATTTTCAGAGTTTGATAATGTACTTGTGGTAAGACAAATAAACCTGATGCACCACGACTTAATTCACATCGTGCGGCAAGCTGCGCTCACGAGAGAGGAAACACTTCGGCCATCCGGGAATTCGGTATCTTTTGTCGCTCCAGGGAGAAGAAAGGAAAGAACAGTTCTTTCTTTCTTACTCCCCTGTAAACAGAATCATTTTTAAATGACAGGACGAGACAATAGCCGGTGAAAACGCATTCTTTATATGCAGCTTCTTTATAATATTTTTAGAAAGAGCTCGTGCACGTCTCTCTCTCTTTCTCTCTCTCTCCCTCTCACTTTCTTCTCGCCTCTTTCCACCTTCGAGGAGATATTTTTATCTTTTATGTATTTACGCACCGAACGCAACTTCGTTTAGACTCTAATTCTGTATTTACCATAAATTCGCGAGTAAATATAGTCAACGCGAGACTCGAAGTTAATCGACTGTTGCGATGTTCAATAAAATAATTTGACTTGATAAAGACACGAAGCCACCTGGCTCGTCTCTCCGCGGTTGAACACGTGGGTGAGATAAGGATTAGTAAATTTTTGCCGATGTCTGCTGTTAGATCGGTGTCTGATACGATTACGAAACACCGGTCTGCTCGGTCTCCGTCATCAACCTGCCATACTCAGCTGCAGACTGTTTGCAGGCTCTGCCGGAAGAACACAAACTGAATGTGCATGCAGTTATTGCCAATCCGCAGCATGCCGATCGTATCTGTTGCCAAACTGCTGGCACAGCGCAATCGTTTTACTGTCCGCTTGAGAAACAAAAGGTGTTTCAAGCAGTTTCGGACTCCGTCTATACTCGGTGCGCGACGTCACGAATGCCTTCACCTCTCCTGAAGTTCCGAGAAAGTTGGGGACATTCCTGATGCCAGCTATATTGGTTTAGTTTTATTTATATATATTTTTTTTTTCACGTACGAAATATAAAATCAGACCTCATCTTTCCTGGGTAAATTCTAAAAAGAGTTGAAGACATTCCTGATGTCGGCTATATTGTTTTTTTTTTGTTTCTCTTTATCATGTACGATGTATAAAGTCAAACTTCTCACCTTTCTTGGGTAAATTCTACAAATGTTGAGGACATTATTAATATCATCTAGTCTTTGTTGGCAATACAAAATTGGATTCTCCTGTACTCGTCATCGATTTCTGCGTCTTGCCTTCGCACGATTCTAAATTCCCGAAGCTCCGCGTCTGTCGACAAAGGTAAAACATGATCACCCAAAACTATCGTTGAAAATAAACTTTGCCGCAGCACACTTACTGCTTTACCAGCAGTTGCTTTAAATAGCGTCGCTCCGGTGTATCGACGAGATATATCAGGTATTCCCCTCTGGTTTGAATCTACGCGAAAAGGAAAAATCTTTCTTTACCTTTCCTCTTCTTATTTCGTTTTTCGCCATGAGTTGCTCGGCTGACACAGAGCAACTTTTGTTTGCCCATTAATCTCATATCTACGAAAGTGCACAGTCATGACGACTGTCGGAGATGCTGGTCAGGTAAGTATGTTTATTTCCTATCGCAAATATATTTACGATACCCAACATTGCGTCGTATAACTCGTTTCTTTATGTTATAATTATGTGTTATAATTATCTGAAACTTAAAATAGTTGGTTGATAGAGTGCCGGATTTTCAGTGACGATATTGAGGGCCCCTTGTATACGTTTGTTTATTTACTGAAAAAATTTACTGAAAAAATACTGTGCTATGACTTGATTTAACTACTTAAGTAATAAATGTTAATTTCGAGCGTGAAATTAAGACAAATATACATACAATATTATAAACACAGATATATTATTTATTTTCTATTGTTCTTATTAAGGTTTTATTTGGGCTCAGTTGAGCTAATATAAATACATACATATTAGAAAGTGGTACATAAATATTTAAATATATATTTATATACTTGTGTATTACTATAAATTGTAAATCTTCTATATTTTCAAAGTGGTTAATAATTTCGAAGCATTTATATAAATGTCTCCGTTAGTCTTTAATATCACAGTAGGTTTTCGTTAAAATCCTAAATATAGTATAGGAGAAATTAAATAATAAAAGTTAAAGATAAAACATCAACCTCAAGGAATACATATAAAAAGTGTCACCTTTAATCGCGAGTATCTCAGCTCCCGCATGGTCAATCGTTTTCTAACTTTACACACACGTATAGACGGTATCTCCACCAATACGCGGTTAAACTTGAAAATGACTCCTAAGAAAATGATTTGACCGACTACCTCAAACCACCCAAGAAATCAGTAGCTTTTCCACGCGAATCTCATAATCAAGAAGCCGACTTGGGGGCTCGTAATTTCACCTTGCGATTATTTCGCGGTACCTCACGAGTCGAACGCGAGAACGTCGGACGAAGGGCCGATTAGTAGGAAGGATCCTCGCAATTTTTCTTCGAGTCCTCCCGAATGCGTCTCCGTACTCCGCTCCTAAGGGATTATGCATTTCCCTTTACGTAATCCGGGCGCTTATGCGCGTACGCGTATGTGTGTACGCGGGAAAGCAAGGGGTACTAAAGAAGTCAGTTGCCCCACTCCACCACAGCTTGAACCAGTCCGCAAGCTCAGCTTCTCTCTTCTCAAGTTGCGATCCAAGTAGTCAGCGTGCGATCAGTGTCAGACCGTCAATCAGTCCGTTCGGACGGCACAGAGGTCCGTCCCGCGCAGTGTTATATCCTATTTTGTGAAGCTTGTCGCGCCAACCACTCACACACAGACACACACGTACACACGTATATATACTCGTGAGACGCGCGCACGTATCAGAAAAAGAGAGAGAGAAAGAGAGAGAAAGAGAAAGAGAGAACGGTATTTTCGGTGTTTTGCGCTCGAACCACACTCCCGGGATATTTCGAGGTGAGTCAATAGAGAAGAAGACGAAGAAGAGGAAGACGGCAGGCAGCAGGTCGGTCGAAACAAACCGGCGGCTGTGGAACACGTGCGCGTCCGTGCCGCCAACGCGCCGATTAATCGCGTAAATATATAGGACCGGGAAAGAAAGAGAAAGAGAGAGAGAGAGAGAGAGAGAAACAGCAGCATTGACGAACTAATTTCTCTCGCGTTCAGATTATTTCATCGTACTGGAATAGATCCTGTGCGCTCTCGTGACCGGCGCTCTCGATCGGCTCTCTCAGCCGCCGTCGCGGATTCGCACGCGCGCGTCGCGATCGCCGCGATTTCTCGTCGCGCATGGAAGCGCGGGTTTTCAAAGCGAGCTTCCTGTTTTCTTTTTTCTCTCTTGCCCCTTTTCTCCCTCTCGAGGGACCCGGCCGCGCGGAAGCGTTATCCGCTTTAATAACTTGGCGCGCGCGCGCAACAATCTCGCCGGCGAGATTCCCGGCGTGTACTCGTGTGATTTCGGTTTCGTTAACGGACACAATCGAGAGAGAATCTAGAGAGAGCCCGTCGGTCGCCGCCGTAGTTCGACGGCGTTGCTTTTCCGCGGGAATGAAAAGGGAAACGCATTTTCGCGAAAATAGCCTAATACGCGCTTCTAATATGAACGCGTTAAGAGAGCAGCTCGAGCTTCGTCGAGGAGCTTTCCCTCCGCTCGTCGAGTCACCCGTCGAGCGCCCGGGCTTGGTTTCGCGTTCGGGAGACCACGGGAGACCACACGGTCCACGAGGGAGCAAAGAGTCGGGAGCGTTTATTAAGGCTCTCGTTGGCCGGCTTTCGGTACTGAAATATGCCTGTAAAATTTCCCGACACCATCTCGGAATAACCTTATGCGCGAGAGACCGAGCATGCCCGGTTATTCTTCGGCGTTCACCCGCGTCACGACCCTCTCTTTCCCTTTTCTCTCCTTTCTTTCTTCTCTCCTCTCTTCGCTAGGGTGACGCAACACAGCTTGATCGGTCGATAATTAATGAGCCACGGAGCCGTGTAACATTTGATACGGACGCTCTTTTATCTCGCTTTTCTCGCGAGAATAAATACACACGCGCTGGCACGCGGAATCGGTGACGGCGACGGTCGTGTCGACGTTATCGCCTCTGTCCGAGCGCGCGTTTCTCTTTGAAGAAGAGAACGAGAAAACGGAAAGGAAAGATAGATTAAGGCGCGACACAAGCCCGGGCTTTCCATTATGCGATAATGACGCACCGTCGTTTTACGATCCCGGCGAGAAATTAGAATTTAGGAGGGTTGTCGAGTGAGACGACGCGTGACATTTATGACCGGCGACATGTTCCTCAACAACACACGTGTGCCCTCCCATGATCGGTATGCGAGGTCTTCAGAGGAGCAACTTTTTTTATAGCGGCTGATATACGGGGTGGTCGTCGTAAAGTGTTGTGCGCGCCGTTTGTATTTCGAAGACCGTCGGCGACGGCGATAATTCTTCTTTTTCCGCGCCCGCTTATTCCAATTTTGGCCTCGAGGCACACTCTGCGGAACCTCCTTGCGATCTAAAACTATATGGCCTTCTTAAATGCCGTCGCGTATATTCGGCATGCGGAAAACGTGCCCGCCCCGCATTCCGCCACGCTTCAAAACGCGTAAATACGCGTCCGCGTATTAAATTGCGCGCGCTTTGATTTTTATGCACGTAGAGTTACGTACGTAGAGAGAGAGAGAGAGAGTTTCACACGCGTGTTGATTAAAATAAGCGAGCAACAGCTGTTAATTAAAGTTGTGTAAAATTGTATAAATAGTGGGCGAATTTTGTCGTGATTCCCCAACGTTGTCGGAAACAGTCGGCGACTATAATGCCTCGAATAACTTCGGGGTCGCTTGACTCGTTACACTTTCCACTATGATAGACGGATATGTCATTAAGTTCAGTCGTACCTACAGCCAAAAAGCTAAGTTATTCTTACATAGGGAGCTCCGTCGTCTGGCCAGACAGCAGAATAGCTCATAGGCTGCTTTCTTAATCTATATTTACAGATATTTGTGCATGTATATAGTGAGCCACTTAATACCGGGCATCTCGAGTACACCTTTTAAAGTGTACGTTTTTAATAAAAGAACGCTGTAAACATGAGCTGTACGGGATGTCCCCAAATTCATGGCCTTAACTTTAATGAGAAACTCTATCAGCAATTCAGAGTGAATTTCTTTTCCCAGCGGAAATGTCGGGGCGTCAATAGTTTCCGAAATACAGACGAATCGAAAATGCTGAGCCTGCCGTAAACCGAACCGACGAAATGGGTAACAAAACTATTCTCATCGATTAAATTCAAATAGTCTTTAACAAAATGTCAACTTTGATCTTAGCCAAGAAGATACATCGTGCTGAGAGACAAAAGGTCGTCATAAATGATGACCTCCTCGGGGCATTTTCGTCAAGGAAAAAATTGCCTCCGAATCGCTCAGAGAACCTCTCGGCAAAAATCAGATCGTGAATTCAGGGACACCCCGTATATCCTCCTGGGATTTTTACGCTTCCCATAATTTTATGTATAAAAATTTTACCGAGATAATGCCATCGCGTAAAATATACATACCTCGTGAAACATTCTACACATTCACATCCCGGGATAAAATATATAGAAAATCTCTCGCATAAAGTACTTCGCTTCTCGCGATGACCTTGCATTTAATACGCGCTTTTATACCGCGGGAACGGCCGGAGAAATCGATTTATGCAAAAGAAAAAGAAGAGACGTGTGCTTCCACTCAGGGGAAAAAACGCACAATCGCACTTTGCACAACCGCCGCACGCAACGCAGAATTTTAAACCGAGTCGAACCTCGTGACATTTTCTCCCATCTACAACTATTTCGGAGCCCGAAGGCGTAGTCGTGGCGTGGGACACCCCGTATTCAATACTACTTGCATACAGTAAGACGTTTCCTTTTATCTTATTGGAATTCTTTGGGGAGAAGCGTCCCCTCTTACGCATCTGAAATCTTTTTCTCAATTATTCAGCAGGTTGTCGTTCCCGATTAAATTATATCATCATCGATGGTGAACGTCGAGAATAAGACATTGTCAACAAATCACACCTGCCAGACATGAATTCCTGAACCGCTACCAAGAAGCACAACGCCATCGGCTAAAGGCGACATGGCAAGTCGAATGAAAGCTCTGTACGACCAGGTACAATGCGATATGCATCATAGCTGTCTATCCGCATTTAAATCAGTTGCATATTGAGCGCAACCGAGCACAAACGTATTGGCACACGCATGCTAAGCTCGTGTTATTCTCGGGCCATTAACCAGTTGAGAACTTAATTTACTGACACTGCGTCTCCATTTTCCTTGGTCGACAAAAGAAAATCTAACTAACTGTCGCGATATAGATAGACAGAAAGAGTCAGGGGCAGGAAAGGAGACACGAGCCATTCTAGTTGGTGCCGTCCTGAGAAAAGAAAAAGCTAGATTCGGCTTCCGAGTTGGAGCTTTGTTTCTTGCAAATTTCTTTCGCGAACATACTAATTTTACAAACAACATACAACTTTGCGCAGTAACCTTACTTTAACGAAGAAAATTCTCAGTTCCTGCAACTGAATAAGAATCGGATGAAAACTCGGTGACGAGAAATGAAATCTCGAAGACGAGAAATGATATTTCTGTCACCGTGACTGAGAAAGTTCTTGTGAGCATTCAGCTGTATTAAAATTCGGTTGAGACAACTAAGAGTAATTGACCGAGTAGAAACCTCCTGCTGGAATCTTTCTGTTTCTACAACCGAATTTTTCGTCTGGTCCCCAGGTAACAGAAAATTCAGTTACACTAACGGAGAGTTGTTTGTTCCGTGTAGTAGACTATTTAGGTTGCCCTTCTCCGTGATAAAACGAGTTGAAATATTCACGAAAAACATTTGGATAAATATACACAAAGAAGCTTTCTTTGGATTTAGTATACGCGTTCGCTTGACTTGGGTTTGTTTAATATGTTTGGGGTTTGTTTAATAAAACAACTAAAACAACAAAACTATGGGTTTGCTTAATAAAACAACACGATTTAATATTAAATATCATTTTTTTTTATGAATATTATATTATTTCATTAGAGTAAACTATATTGTTCGATAGAACAAACAGTATTATTTCGCGGAAATAATATCTGGTTTTCGATAAAAAGAATTTATTTTATTATATATTAAATACACACTATTCCCTACTGAAACAAAGAAAAGTTCTTTTATATTTTTCTAACATCGTGTTACTTCTTTCAAATATTTTATCGTTCGTGACAACGATCGTAATGTCTGGATGAAAATACAAACGAAATATAATATTTGCCACGAAGATATTTATTATTTGAGAAATCCCCCTTCGCCGAATCAAACATTGATTTGTATGCTGCACTTCAAAAGACAAATCTGTTTCAATTGAGGAAATTTGATTAAATACGAAGAAATCTTCTTCTCTGTGTATGGAAAAAACGCAACTCTAACACGGAAGCCAAATTCAATATTTTTCGACATTGGGAAGGATTCAAAATAGCAAAAGAAAACAAGCAGCGCATTAATATCTCCGATCTCCACAGGTGCTCTTTGAAAGACGAATGCTTCTGGGTTGCACCGCTGCAGTAGGACTTTCGGCGTGTTTATGGTCCATAGCTATAGGCACCGATCATTGGTACGGGCTACAAGCGCCGGATGATAAAGGTTTGCCTCTGGGTGGTGCCGGCAAAGCTGGCAGAAGACTGGTCTACAAGCATATGGGCCTGTGGAGAGGTTGCATCACCGGATTAATGCCCGAAGCAGAGAACTCGACAAATTTAGTGACTTACAGTGAGCGTTATTCTCTCATTTGAAATTTATAATTCGTGAGATTTATGTCTACGTATATTTGTCTGCGCGTCGTTTCAGAGGAATGCAAGTATCTGAATATGTTTCCAACGGAGTTGCAGATAAAGCTGGACTCGAGCCTAGATCCGACAGTGCTAAGTGAGTGCTGAGAGAAAGTTAACGTTTCGAACTTGCTTTTGAACTTGCATGTTGACCGAGCGATAAATCGCTCATTGCGAGACAGTTAGCTTCACTATTACTGAGATATGCCTCCTTTCTTCTCCGCTCGTATTGCCATCTTTTGTGAATCTTAGATAGATAGTTGGTCTGTGAAATTATCTTATTTCCTAAAATTTCATTTAATTCAAACTTTCAATTAACTTTCAATTTAATTTTTCATTTAATTTAGCTCTCAACTTTTAAACTTTTGTTACATATTAATGAAATACCCCACACTTGCACAATTGGGAGAAGGTTGACCGTTTGCTGAGGTACTTGCAATTAAACTAAACTTATTTAAACTATTTAAACTATTTAAACTAAACTAAACGCCCGGAATTTGTTTTACACACATTCCTCGAGATTACCGTCACACTTTCAATATCTATTTTTGATCTCTTCTAACCTATATCCAGGATTGTAAAATGCAAAACTACTGTGATGTTAGCGACTGATACACAGACATTACATAAAAATATCTCGACGCCGCCACTGAAAAACCGACGGACGAACTGCCTTGAACTGTCGCAATATCCGATTGCTCCATTCGGCAGGGCCGTTATTCCACCGTGTTTAACGCGCGATTCGTGAGGCTCACCTCGGATCCGTTCGATCATTTTTTTAGACTACGCCAGGACCGAGGTCTCGTTCGCCTTGATCAGCCTCTTCGTGAAGGTGATGGGCTTCTGCTTTTCGATTTACACGTTCCGGAACCCGCGCTACATGTTCAAACGCCTCGCCGGTGGGATACACTTCATAACCGGTAATTAGTGCCACGTAATTTGACGACGATCTCTCGGATCTCCCTAAGATTCTCTCGAGAAATTCCACGATGATCGTATAGAACGCGTGGATCTGCCGGCCGTTATTCCGGTCTCTCTTATGTCAAGGCAATTCGCTATCTCGCGCGTTACGCTTTAATCAGCATATATCGCTCGTCAGAAACGAATGGAATTGATTAATCATGTGTCGGTCTCCTTTTAGCCGCTTGCAACATGGTGGTGATACAGGTGTTGTCCTCCTCGATCGAGTTCGAGAGTACTCACGTGCACCAGACCTTCCCGGAGGGCGCGCTCGCGAGATACGACTATTCGTTTTTCCTCGCGTGGATCGTGTTCTGGTGTAATCTCGTGGCCGGTCTCGCCTTTATGATTTTCTCGAGGAAAAGGAAGAGGGACAAAGCGCCCACCGAAGAGATAGCCATGGCCGACGAGCCGACGATAATCGGGCGTTGAGCAAGTTATTTTCTGACTGTTATATTCTTGTTATTATTATTATTTTATTATTTTATTATTATTATTATCTTGTTACTATTATTGTTATACGTGGAGAAACTGTGAATTCTGAGTGTGAATTATAAACGATGCTACTGATATGTCCTCTCAGGCACAGCCCACTTTTCAGTTCACTCCACTTCGTGCTCGGAGGCCGTCGACGGGGAAACAGTTATAACAGTTAGCCGTCGTCGGGCTGGGATTAACAGTAATTTTATTAAAATACGATAACAAACCATATGGAAGCAAAAATATACAACAATAATTAATCCTTCCTCGGGGGGTCACACGCATAGGAAACGCTCTAAGGGCGGATCCAACGATACGATGGAACGGTGAAAGCGCTTTGTGTTTTCGCGTGGATTTCCGGGAAAACACCTTCACCGAGATTCTTTTCTAAAAACGAGACGTTGAGATTCTCAATTTTGACGCCTCCCGCCGACACGTTCCAATATCGTTTGTGTCAGCACCCTTTCCGCTATGTTCCGCGCAAAGTTCGTCAGTTGATCTTGGAAGCCAGGTCGCCTGGTGGTCGTTACGTAATTCGGGCCCGGATAATATCTTCCTTGAGGAGGTCCTCCCTGTGGATATCCCTGAGGATATCCCTGTGAATATCCCTGCGGATAGCCTCCTTGTGGGTAACCCTGCGGATATCCCTGCGGATACCCCTGCGGGTATCCTTGAGGATAGCCTTGATTAGGCTGCGGAGGATGCTGATTACCGTACGGATTGCCTGAGGAAGGATAAGCCGCGTTTTGAGTCGGATAGCTGCTACCGCGATGCGCGGGATTCTCCTGCGGATATCCGGATGGCCGCGGATTGCCGGCGTTTACAGTGCTAACGTCTGTTCGCCTGACAGATTCCTCGCCGTGCGGATTCCTCGAATTATCTGGATATCCCGAAGAACCACCCGGATATCCGGATCCTGTTGGATAACCGGAACCACTTCTGGATGTAATTGAGTAACCGGATGATCTGCTAGAAGGATAACCGGATGATCCACCAGATGGATAACCGGATGATCCACCAGATGGATAACCGGATGATCCACCAGATGGATAACCGGATGATCCACTAGAAGGATAGCCGGATGATCCACTGGACGGATAACCGGATGATCCTCTAGACGGATAACCGGATGATCCACTAGAAGGATAGCCGGATGATCCACTGGATGGATAACCGGATGATCCGCTTGATGGATAGCCGGATGACCCACTGGATGGGTTATTGGGCTGCGAATGACTGGTCGAGGTTGGGTCGGAAGTTCTGGAGGAGCTTGGATAGCCACTATTGGCAATATATCCCGAGCCGGACGGATATCCTGAGGATCTAGCGGGGCCATCGGAGCTTTTCGAAGCGGTATCCGGCGACCCACGTGTCTCGGTTTCCGTCGGGTAACCGTCCTGTCGTTTCGCAACTACATGTCTCCCAATTGCGTCGTATTCTGTAAACAATTTGTCATCTGCGTCCTATATAGTGAGAATCGTTACGTGCTCAGCCGGCAATACAGTTGTGGAAAATATGTGACGTGTCGACAGGTGACTTAAAAATGTATGATGTACGATTGTGTTTTCGCGGAAGAAGCAGCGCCAATTTTCCGTCGAGCTCGATCCGACATGCGTGCATGCGTTAGAGATGCAGAGATGATTTACATGATACGGCATGCATCGCGCGAACGTATTTCCTAAAACGTTCTAAATAAAACAGGTATGTCAGCCATGTTACGTCCGAGTCACTGCTCAAACTTTCGAAGTTTCGCATGAAGATGTTTACGACTTGCGGCAATACTTTTGTGCACTCGCGTGTCACTCGTATCCGGACATGTGTGTGTGTGTGTGTGTTTGTGTGTGCGCGCGCGCATATTACAGTACGCCAAACGAAGTTTTATTTGTCAAACCATTTTCGGTTAATAATGTTACATCGTATTGTCCTTATATCGCGTCTATATTATGTAATTATTTTATATTGTGTCTCCACTTCGACGGTATAAAAATGTCGCAACATTCGCTTTATATTAATGGCATAATCTCGTTAACAATGAAGGCTAAAAATAGAGATATGCAGAGCGACTTTTTCAGCCGGAAAACGTCCAGATTCGGTTTCCATTGCTGTCTATGCGAGTGTGAGAGGTGTAATAACCGTTTCCGCCAGTTTGCGTAGCGCTTCTGCCAGAGTTAGTGTCAGAAGCGGTGGGTCGAGTACGACGGTCGTTGCCGAACAAGCGATCGTAGATCGAGCCGTTGCCTATGGCGTTCCTGGGGCCAGAGTTGCCGTATCGTATCCTATTGTACGACGAAGATCTAGGCGGCGACGTCGGAACTCTCGGTGTCGTTCGATATGACACCTGGTTCATGCCCGGAGGTAGTGCTGACGGATCATACGATGAAAGAAAGAAAAGGCCGGTCAAATTAATATCGCAAGAGTCAAAACCGCTCGTCGAAACTACTTCTCTTTGGTCGTGTCAATCGATCGTTCCTTGTGATAGAAGAACGCAACAGGGGAAGGAATGAAAAAGAATGTGCAGTAGGGTGTAAAAAAATATATAGCGTGAAAGATATATAATCCCCGTAAGCTCTTGAACTAAATTTTACCGAGAGATCCCCTGGGTAGAGATAATTTTTTCCGAACGAAAGCATCCGGGCCAATCAGTAGTTTTCGAGATACAAGCGACCGAGAAAGCGGAGCTTTTCGTGAACTGAACTTCGAGCGACTAAATGAATGACAGAATTCTTTTCTTGGGCAGATTTCAAGCGGACTTTAACGTACTTTTAATTTGGGACTTGGGTACAAAGATATGTCATGTTAAATATCGAAAGGCCGCCATAAATGATATCCTCTCCCGATATTTTCGTTGAGGAGAAATCATTTCTGGATTGTTCAGAGGATCACTCGATAAAATTAAGGTCGCTGGAGTTCTGAGACATTCTGTACGTATACGTACAGAACGCCAACATACATGATTCTTCAGAATAATTCTCTTCGACGATGTTCCATCGAATATTTATTGCTTTCACACAAGAGACGACCAACACTTGCTCAATAATCGAGAGTGACGCTAAGTGCTGCGTCAACGTGCGAGATTCTCGAACGACAGATCTAAAGTGCGAATCTTCTTCCACTGGAGCTTTTTGCTCTTGTCTGTCCTTTTCTCCGTTAAATTTTTTCCATTCCTCCATTTCGATATTTTTATAAAGTACCGCTCAAAAAAAAAAAAAAAAGATCGCACGTATAAAAATATCGAGTATAAAAGATTTGTTATACAATCGTGGAAAGATTTAAAAAAAAGAAAAGAAAGAAGACTGTGATATCTTTGTGCAAATAATTGTACGAGAGAAGCCTCTAGATTGACATAGCGCGAAGTGGAACGAGTGTTTCTTTTTTTTATTCTTGCCTTGTATAGATCTTTTCCCGTAATTAACTAGAATCGATAAAAAAGAAAAAGTAGATGGACGGAACGAAAACAAGTAATAAACTTGTTTGCCGAGACGTGATCGATCGGTTTTGTATTGAACGATGAAACACGATGCCGTATAAGACGCAATAGCTCACGCTTAAACTCGCATCGACTATATGGCGCACGAGCAGATAACGAGTGTCAAGGTTGAAGATGATAACCTATTAATTCGTGGAAGACTTATTACATCATGAATAAGAAACGCTCGTGCACTTTGCGAAGTGCCAACGTCACGCGATGGAATGAGGAAATTAAGCGCTGTTATTCGAGATACCATTTCTAACGAAATGTAAATAAACGAATGTATTCGGATTTTCTGTACAATTCTACGCCCGAATATATCTAACAAGTATGAAAAAGACGGCAAATGTAAGCGAGATTCTTTATCACGAGCTATAAGTCGTTCTCTGCGAAAATAACGCTTTTTATCGACAGAATCGTAGAATTATTTGCACACACAGTCGATTATATATATTATTGTATATGTACATTAACATAACACTGGGTAATAGCTAAATCGTCACGTCTCTATAAGTACAATTTTGAAATAAATATTACATCATTATGCGCAGGATGCGTCCGAAGTTGCAGTACGATCAGGAAAAGGCTGCTTTATATGTTACGCGAGATTAGTAGAAGCATGAGGATATCATTAACTCTCCAATTTACGTTTTCGAGTTATTTCTGTGCGAAGCATCGCCCTCTTCTCGGTTATATCGCGATTTCGGAGGCATCCAGTGTTCGCATCTTACGATAATATTCCTCAGTGTGCTCATACACATAGACACACCACATATACACACACACAGACATACACATATATAAATTTTTGTTTTCAACGAACGAACGCAATTTGTCCTCTGGCTCGAGTGCAATTCTGTTAATATTCATCGCTTCTACGCGACGTTAAAAAGCGGAGAATATTAGAGGCACAGAAACGAAGATTTAGAGAAGGAAAGAAAGCACGAGCGTTAAAGTGATGGGAATAATAACAGTTGGATGCAGATGCAGATGGATAAATTGTTTGAGTCAGAACGTATTTCGCACATGCAACAAGCCGTCGAGGAAAGGGATGATCACTCACGACAACGATGCTGCTTATCAAGCTTCCCGACCAGCGAGAAGGAAACATGCCGGAATTCGAAGAATCGGCTAAGTTCACGAGGAAACTCAAGCTCTCGCGATGATATCGTATTCCGTTCAACGTAACGCGAGAGAATTGTATAAAAATATATAATATGTATCATCAGGACGACTTTTTTTTCAACGAAACGCGATCTAGATTTATTGAAAACATTAAATATCGCATTACACACGCGCGCGCGCTCGAATGTGAAATCCGGAATATTTACAACTCGAATCAAAGTGAACTTCGATCGGGATATCGAAACAATTCAGGAGCGTTACAACCAATAACAATTACAGTCGTTAAAGCCGTTAATCGGAGTCTGGTGGTTGCAAGACCCGCGCGTGTCCGGGTCTTTATCGGTGGATAACCGGTGGGCTGCCCGATGCGAGGTAGACGTTAGAGAGCTGCTACGTAGTATGTACCCGGAAGATCTTAACGTTATCGTAAAGTATCTGTACAAAAAAAGTCTCTCCGATACTTTCATGTGCGTTTCCTTAACGAGTAAGCAAAGGCTTGGGGATGGATTCGATATCGATCAGATACAGCAACGTCAAAGTACAGTTAGCGTCATGTACGTCATACCGTTCCTTGAATCGAGAGTCACACGATATTCAACCTTACGTATGCGTGCAAATAAAGCGGGTCAAGCTGGACAGGAAAATCTCCCACTGTTTTGCAAATCTTGCAATTATTAACGAATTAATTAAACAGCGTCAGTGAATGAGTGTAGTGGCAACAAGCTTCTTAAATGAAGTCTCACCCAAGATAGCTCGAGTATGTTTGCCCTTTCAATCGTTTATAACTGAAACTCGTACGGTTTTCGACTTTATGTTGTCAATAATTAAAATATTAGTTCAACGTTCAATTCAATAGTTTCAATAATATCACCATTGAATGAAGGAGATCCGCTTCAATCACGCGTGCTGTCGGAAATTCAACCGATTCAACAGCATTTTTTCCACGGTGAGGGCTGAAAATTGCGTAATTCCCCGATTTAAGAAATGACATAGCACGTGTACACGACGCTGACCGTACAAAAGACGAAGAATTCCCCGGTTCTCGGACGGATCACCCGGACGCCCCCAGCAGCAGGAGCAGCCCGGCCAATCCGACGAGAAGCGTGGAGGCGGAGGCGCCGTTCGCCGCGCCGTTCCTGCGGTAAATCGAGTTCGTGTTGTAGCCGTAGCCGCGCTGCTGATTCTGGTTCGGATAATTCGGATAGTTCTGGTAGCCCGGATTGTTCTGGTATCCCGGATAATTCTGCTGCGGAAAATTCCCGGGCGCCTGCGGGTATCCGGTCTGCGGATATCCCGGATACGGCGGCTGTCCAGGCACCGGCATCCTGTTCTGCGTCGGATACGGCGGGTAGCCCAGGTCCCGATGGTGACCGGCCTGATTGGTCGACTGCGGGTATCCACTTGCGGAAGAGCCGGTGTTACTCGGATACGGCGGGTAACCCAGGTTGTTCCCGGCGGACGTGCGGTGATATCCGTCGGCTGGATCGGCCGGCGCCGGTGGTGCGTTAGCGTTCGCGTAAGGATTCGCGTTATTCCCGCCCACTCGTTCGCCGTTCACGTACGAGACGCCAGCCGACTCGTAGCCTGCACAGAGATGCCCACTTCCGCTACTCGTCGTACCACACACACGTACCGTTGGGGTCTTTTTTCTTTTTCGTGCAAATCGCGCGAATTCTTTGCGAGAGTGACACCGCGAGGAGCCGCGCGCGACGTGAAAGACGAAGGACGACAGAAAGAGACGAGAGAGACTCTTAAAGCTTCGCCGCCACCTCGGTTACTTGTTATTCCTTCAGCGCGCGTTCCAATCGTGAGGAGAATTGATTCTCTTCCATATTCCGTTCGTCCCGAACAAACGTATTTCCGAAAAGTAGTCGTTAATTAAAAGTCTGGTAAATTAAGGAAACTAGATTTCTTTAGCTTTTGCCCTGAAGGGAAAAGGGAAGCAGCTGTGTGTTTCCTTTTTTTTTAGAATGAGTGAAACTAATTCAGATCCCAGATGGCAACTCGCGTTAGTCATTTGGCGATGTGGTGATCGTAACGATGTATCGCGGCAGGTCGCGCCGTTCTCCATCAAACATTCACGCGTCTATGTCGACTCGAGCCTGTTCGTGCTGTGAAATGCATGAGAGACCGTTGCTATTACAAGACCCCACTTTTGTCGCGAGCGTAAACAACGCGGGAGAGACCTCCACGACCGATCTGGACTCTCACTCCGGCTGCGTTCGGAAATCCCACCCTACCGGGTGAGCCGGATGGGTGGTGGTGGGAGCAGAGCAGGCTTCGGGTGCAAATGGTTTTTCGTATGACGCAAACCACAATTTGTCAGTCATTCGTCACGGTTGCAAGTACCAGAAAGGATCCTTGAGAATCGTACATCGACTGATGTATTCTCCTTCATAATTTATGTCTTTCGCGGCTTAATTCCGACTCCATTGTTGCAAATCAATGCCGTTTTGTTTGCCGATTCGACTCGATGTAGCTACGAATGCGTTCTAAGATACGTTGATAGATTGAATATGTACACGATACATGTAACAAAAGCTATAATTTTATATTAACATTCCGGAATACACTTGGATACCAGTCGAATCGAGTCAATAAATCGAAACGCTGTTAAAAGCTCTCCAAGTGCAACGAGTTACCAAAATCCACCTTGAAATTTCAGGGTGGAAAATTTCTCTCTCGGTGTGCGCTAAACTAAATTTCCGAATTACCGTCGTAGCTCTGGTATTACCCGAATATTTCTGGCACAAGTCTCCACACCTGGGTGAAATTTCCGAACGTAGCCTTGGCCGAATTGTTGTCATGCATTTTTCTCGTGCATTAGCTATCGCCAGCGTTTTTATATCCTCATGCTCGCGATGTAGACGCGTATCGCCAAGCTCGAAGGAAACAGTGGAGACACTCACCTGAGACCGTGGACTTCCGCACGCACTTCGGCACACCATTTTCACTCTTGCAGTACTCGTTCTCCCCGCAGACCTTACTGGTGCAACTTGCGCCTGTAAATATTTTCCGAAGATATTAAGATATCAACACGGTATAAGTTAACGTTGTCGGTGTAAACCAGGTGGTTCCTATACTCAGTTGCTACCTGGTTATCCAATTTTACGGATGCTACCCGAGTATTAACTATCTAGATAGTCGACTGTATACTGTGATTTGACACCACCAAATATAAATATACCAGAGTACTAGATACACCCCGGGACAAAATATAAATCTGTAATTTTTAACGTAAACAACTGTACCACTTTGTACACTGTCTTAGAGCTGTGCGTGTGTACAAGCATAGTTTTAAAAAGGCGCTTTCTTCAATTTTGGCTCGGAAAACACCGAAGAAAATCCGTGGAAAATTTGAAAAATCCAGGTTCTCCAATTTTTCCCATTCATCCGCGGGAAGAATCCGAAAAAAAACCCCGCGAAAACCTTTCTCCGAGTCTTTAAAACCATAGTACGTGCACAAGTTGTGACATTATTTAGAAGTTATTCAAATCTGATCAGATAATGACGGTCAGTTATTACCGTTTGTCTTCTGACATGTCGGATATTGCCCGCATTTGTCCGCATTGTAAAGGTCGCAGCGATCCTCGGCCATCACGCAGACTTCGTCGCTGCGACAGCCGATGTCCTGGCAGGTTCTTCCGTATTCTGAAAATAAAAAGAAAAAATGAAAAAGTTACCTTAAATCTACATATTATTATATTATAGAGAAAAACTCTGCGCTGATAAAATGTTTCACCTGTAAGGTAGAAATTTTTATCACCGTAAAAGCACCGTTTCTCCACGAATTCGTATAACGCGATAAAAACGCGCGTTTTTCTCTCTCTCTTACTTACTGGAATAAGCGGCCGCATCGGGAACGTCGGTGATTATCAGCAGCGTCCCGAGAAGAACGCTGAGCGTAACGCACGAGAACATTTTCTGAAAACGGAATAAATAAGTTTCTCATAAACATAGATGTTGCGTAATTAACGTCAGCTCATGAGAGAAACTACGTATACTTTCAGCTACTAATCACTCAACAATTGCGTATCTCATTCGAGAAAGATCAACCACGAACGAAAGAGGTGATCGGGGCAGATTGGTATCTCTCAGAACTCCGGTGTCGAAATTTTTCAAACGATTAATTGTCGCGATTGTTGTACAAACGTTACAATTATTGCGTCTCGCAAATATTTTGTGTCGTTGCGCGTCGATCAATCGCAAAGCCAGCGCGCGACACTTGGACAACTCAAAGACGATCCACGTGCTCCAGTTTTTGCGCTGTCAAAAACCGCACCGACAAGAGAGAAAATCCGGTTTACATGTGCCCCGAACCTTGAATTCAACGCGAGGGCGCGTAATCATCTCGACACGGTCCTGCCTGGCCAACTATATTCTCACACCATTGCTATCCTTGGATCGAGCGTGACGCGTTCCGTCGGAAGGAGGGGACCCTCCTGACACAATACACACACATACATGTATGTGCACACATGCACGCATAGCGACGTACACCTTTTCACTCGTTGTGCCGAGGAAACCGCCAACACGACCGGAGAGAACCCGACTCGTGAAATATTACGTTCCACTTTCGCACCAGAAACGTATCGATTTCACGCGGAAATCATTTTTACGCGCATCTGCATCGAGCACGCGAGGAAAAGCTGCGTCGTAGGCCATGTAATTGCGCGTACACGTCAACCGTGAGCTCCGACAACTGTCTCATGAGCGACACTTCGCGACGAATGCGTCTTCGCGAGCAGACATATCAGGCCGTAACATAGAAATTATTGATTCGTCGTCGGTGGCCAAAAAAATATCGCGCAATACCGTCCACCGCGTGACGTTTCCCGCCAGCCACATCGAGGGCGCGAAAGTAATAATACATCGGTATAATAATCATGAGTATCAGAAAAGTAATCATTTACACGTCGATTGTCGTGGCCAGGAAATCGTCAAGGATGACGTAGCGCGTTTCGCACGGAAGAACAAAGACGTAATTAGTCAGCGCTTACCAGTTCGTGCTACCTGCACCTGTTTTTCGCGCGCACTGCGTAGTCGTCTGTAGTTGCCGCGACACTGAAATTCGTCGAAGTCGTGGCCGACTCGGAGGCGGCGGCGGCGGTGCCGCTCTGACGTATCCGTGAGCCGGAGCGAGAGAGAGAGGTCGAGAGTGAGGAGAGCGACAAAGACGCCCGGTGGAAATACCAGATGAAGACGAAGATGAGAAAAGGTCGGGCTATCTGGCACGATAGCAGCCGGAGGAAACGCCAGTGAAATAATGCATTCGTTCGCCGAGGAGATGTACATACGCGCGTCTGTTAACGCGCGTGATGTTAATGACGGGAATTTTACGAGGGGTCGCGATATCAGATAATTAATCCGATCAATTCTGCCGGTATTGTTTGATCATCCGCATCTTGCGCCGGAGGAAAACGAGTGGTCGAACATGCACTTCTTCTCAGGACGCTCTATACGGAGGTGTACTTTTAAAATGTAATTTAAAGCATTTAATTTAATTACAACAAAGATAAGAATTTCATTTAATTTAATGTAATCTTTAAATTTAAGTACATTATTGATGTACGGAGAGAAAAGTTCGTTCAACTTAATTTCTGCAACTGAATAGAAGCCGGATGAAAATTCGTTAGCAAGAGATGAAAACTGTGTGTGTGTGTGTGTGTGTGTGTGTGTGTGTGTAATGTGAAAACTCGGTGACAATGAATGATATCTCTGTTACCGTAACTGAAAACATTCGTGTGATCATTCGACTGCATTAAAACTCGATTGACAAAAACTGAGAGCAACTAACTGAGCAGAGAATTGTCTTGTATCTTTGTAATAATCGTCATTAATTGTTTGAAACCTCCTATAAGAAATTTGTTATTTCTACAATCGAGTTTTCGTCTGCTCCCTAGGCGACCAAAAGTTCAGTTCACCAACGGAATTATTTTATCCGTTTTATACGAAATAATTTTTTCTTTTTATTTTTGTCTCCATGAAATTTTGTCACCATAATCATTTTTTTGTCTCTATAAAATTGTCTCCATAAAATTTTTTGAGTTTTTTAGGTATTTTGGAAAAGTTCTTTTTTCTTTTCTTTTTTTTCTCTCTGATGGTTGAAATATCAAGAAATATTCTTGTCGATCGACGCAGTTCGACTTGCGCAACCGGTTAATTTCGTTGATTAACATCACTTTATTATTCGAGTTTTAATGAGTGATGGAACGGCTAGTCTAGCCTCGAGAGTTGAGACTGGATTAAATTTTTTCTTTATATTCTGTTGAATTAATACAATCGGTGTGTGTTTGTTGCGACTATGCTATAGTGTATAATAACTCCTTTACGAAATACAATCAATCACAGACAACAAAATAGTTTACATATATTGTAATATTTTATTTATAGAAAATATTATATAATGCAACGGTGCAATTGTGAATCTTTGTCGCCCTCCCGTCTCTTCATCCTCCTTTCTTTGAGAAAAAAGGATAATAACATTCCTATAATAATATTCCTATATTTATATTTCATATAACAAAAATTGAAAAAAACGACAAGAGATGTCGCACGTGTGTGTGCAAAAAAAAAATCGGCCCCTTTATCAAAAAGCTGCGCAGAATTTTGAACTTTGACAGGTTCAGGCTACAACTATGCGGTTTCCTGATACTTCCGTTATATTGCTGTTATATCAAAAGTAACAATGCAAGATAAAGTGTATTATCTTCGATTCTACTCAAATTCTCGTGCGTATTCTAGTCTATTACAAGTGCGTACCCCCTAACGTGAAACTGCTGAGAGATCTACATACAAACGCTATCTCTAATAATAGATAAATGCTTTCGGTTAAACCCAGTGATTGTATCCACTTAACAATTGAAAGATGCATGTGCCTCATGAGAAGTGCCTCACCGATACCACCGTTTATTTTGTTCAATTCCGCTGGATCGAGTCGCGAGAACAACTTCCGTCAGTTTCTCCTTTTTCTTTCACAATTTATTTATATATATATATGCAAAATATTTTATATAGATATTACACGGAAAAAAGTGCTAGATTCAAGTAAATAATTACTCCAATACTCCTTAGCAAAATTTTACTTGGTTCAAGTAAATATATATATTTTACTTGGATAATTTATTTGGAACTTTTTTTACTTGAATCAAGTATTACTTGATCCGAGTGAAAAGGAATATTAGAGTAATTACTTGAATCTAGTACTTTTTTTCTGTGCAGATATTAAATCAGGCTAACAGTGGCTACTCCGACGCGTCGACGTCATTATGAGTAACGACTCGTGTCCCCGATTGATAAGAGTGGCGGCTTCTCGGCTCTGTGTTTCTCCGATAAGGAGAGTTACCGTCCTCGTCGGGAGTCACCTGTGACTCAACCCGACATAACACCAAGTTCGAGCAAGTATTGATATGTATCGATATTAATAAGTACATAATCGGATTATCTCCGTGATTGGCGGGAGGATGTGAGCCCTTCGGCGATATTCAACAAGTGGGTTCTATGGACACCGGCATCCTCGCGGAGCGGCCGAAGAAGCCGCGAGTGCCGTCAGGTCCTGACGGCATTCTCGTCACGTTCTCGGGCAGATGCGTCATCGCGATGCCGCTGTTGCTCCTTGACTGACAGAATCCATTTTGCTCGGAGCCCGACGAGCACAAGGACAATCTCCGGATGTTCATGTCGTAGCTGGAATCGCGGCTGCACGTTGACATTCGTCTCAACAACGGCCCGTAGTCGGCCGACCCGCGACGACTCGTGACATAACAACCTCCCCCGCATTCCATGGGAGAACCTACGGCAAATAAGAAACGCGTAATTTAATAGCCAAAATAATAATAACAATAATAACAACTATAATTTTGAAATGTGACAGATTTTAATCGAACACACGCGAATTTTTTTTAACGAATTTCTATACCCTTGGAACAGAAATCGAAGAAATATGCGGAAAAATTGAAAAAAAAATCTATTTTTCTCGAGTCTTCAAAACTATAGTAATAATAACAATATTGTTACTTTCGGGCGCTAAACTCATACAAAGATATTTCAATTTGAATCGCACGATTGCACAGAAGAAGCAATTCAGTTGGTGTAACTGAATTTTCCCTCGCCCGAGGACCAGACGAAAACTCGGTTGTAACAGAACAGAAAAATCCCTGTAGGAGATTTCCACTTAGTCAATTGTTTCAGCCGAGTTTTAACGCAGCTGAATGTTCGCACGAATGTTCTCAGTCGCGGTAACGGAGATACAATTTCTTGTTACCGAGTTTTTATCTCTTCGTCACCGAGTTTTCATTTGATTCCTATTCAGTTGCGAAAGCTGAGTTTTTTTTCCGTATACGAACCGGTGGAAGAGCAGCAAGAATAACGGCGATTCTCATGATGATAGAAGTTGTTCGGGTAGCCCGGATGGAAGAAGGCTGTTTCGGAGCCGGAGGACGAGCACGTGGAGTAACGTCTACCAGTGTCCGAGCTGGAACCGGAGCAGGAGGACAAGCGCCGAAACATGAAACCGTTGTCCGAGCTGGATATGGAGCAGGAGGAGAGCTTCCGTGATAACCACGCATCTGGTGACGGTGGCCCCGCTACAACAAAATACAAACAATTAATAACGATCTGATGTCTGAGGCTTTGGCAGTGTGGAGACATCGCGAGTTAATTATCTAGATTGACTTTCGTGATTGTCACGACGTGAGACAAGCGATGATGGAAATCTTGCAATCTTGTTAATTACATGTGTGAAGCGAATATACAATATTGAATTAATCTTTATACTTACATCGTACAATAATGTAAATTTCTGTTATATCATTGCGGCAAGAAATTTACCGAAAATTACAATGAGATTTTTGTATTCAAAATATTTTCATATAAAAAGAAGTTAGGCAGCAGAAGAGATTTCTCTTTCTATATCAGGATAGGATACCCTACCCTGGAAAGGATAACCCGCGTGGATATGATACATCGGATATCCTTGGACACTTTTCTTGTGCCTCGCTCTCCCATCTTCCGGCTCGGAGCCGCTCGGACAACTGGACGAGTTGTAGTTGTCCTCCTTCGTCACTCTGTTGATGACGTTCTTCTTCGTAGGCTGGTGCTTCCTCTTCTTGTCGCCTGACTGATGCAGCTCGAACACCTTGGCGTCACCCAGGGTCGTCATTTGCATGGCGATCCGCGCGGAACTCGAGTCCGTGAATTCGACCATAGCGCACTCTTCGCTGGATGCTAGCTCTGGTTTCTTCGAGATAGCCTGCCGCACCTAAGTAAAAAAACATTTCAAATTCAAAAAATATTAAAAAATATCAAATATTAGAAGAAAATATCGTATATTTTGCTGTTGTATTTTTTATTATTGTGTATTATTATATTATACCTACCTTATATATATATAAAAACAATATATATATAATTAAAATGTAATTAAAATATAATTTAGATACGGTTAATCAAAGGAAATACTTCAATGAACTTCAGAACACATTCGGTATTCAGAAAAATCTTACGAAAATTAATAAAAAATAAATTATCTCTCTTATTCAATACAGATGTATAAACTAAATTCGTTAGGGAAAGAAAATGCTGGGACTTGCGTGTCATTGATTTACAATGATTATATTATGATTATACTGTGACCGGATATTCATTAAATAATTATCAAATAAGTGAATGAATCGTCAATTAAGTCTCAACTGACAAACAGCTGACATAAGAATTAACCAGATCATTATGACAGAGATCAAACATGACGGAGTAATCATGGAGCAAATTTCAGCTTTTAGGATCAATCACAGTCTGTTAACATGTGATTGTCACATTGAGTGTAAGATTACAACCTGTGCGTTACATCATCATGCAATTGTGGAAAATTTGGCGAGGAATCGCGACAAACAATCATTATTCGAATCCGCCACCGGCTATTATCAACGAATTCGCGCAATGTTCCGCTCAGCTGAACTGTCAACAACAATTACGAAGCTATAACAACAATTACGAAGCTATGACTACGACGACGTTAATGTTTTATTGATAGTCAGCAACCTTCTCGTCCAATCTCTATATGCTCCGCAATAAATGTAGAAATGAAGGTATTGGGCTCAATGATAAAAAACTAATGAACAAAGCGAATAAACGAGCGAATTTGTAAAGCGTTCGAAAAATGTCCTTTTTTTTGTCGAGTACATTTTACGACTATTTGTTAATTTATTGATTAAAATTTTTTTTTAATTTTCGAGTTATATTTAAATTAAATCGGTTCAATTAGTCACAAATGTTATTTTATAACATCTTTTATGAAACACATTCATTTTATGAAATTTTCACGAACCTATCTTTTTATGTCGACGCATTTCGCAAGACTTCTGCCTTCCGACGTCATTAAGAAAGATGGCCACGGTAAAAACAAACTTTAAGCTATCGAATCGTATAGGAGTCTCGCAATTCTCCGACAAGTTTCCGGCCGAAAAGAGAGTCTCACCTCAGCGGGTGCGGGATGCCCGGGCCTGAGCACCCTGATCAGCGCGATTTCGCCGCAGGGCTTGAAGATCTCGGCGACCGACTCGACCGTGAGTTTCTCCAGCGGCAGCCTCGCCGCCAAAATGGTCCTGGAGGGCGCGGTCTGGTCGAAGGGCGGCAAAGGATCTACTCTGCGCAACTTAGTCCCTTGCGGATTCACCTCAAGCTTCTTGGACCTCGCCAAGGCCGCGCCGACGACCCTCCAGTCCCTGCTGATGTGTTTCACCCTCTTGAAGCTGGAGATCAGCTTGAGGGACACGTAGCCCTCCTTGTTTCTCTTCACGTGCTTCAGCAGAAACGCGTCCTTCACGATATTCTCATCGGAGAAGTAGAACTCCACCTGAGCGCAGATCTTGTCAGCCAGGTCGTCGCTCGGCGGCGCGAAGTCGTCCGCCCCCTTCTCAGAGACGGGAACTTCCGACGGCGTCTGCTGTTCACGACCGTCCGCCGGCGTCGAGTCGTCCAAGGAGTCAGCACCCGAATCCTGGTCGACGCCGGTCTGCTCCTTCGTGGGCTTGATCTCGCTGTCGTAGTCCGACAGGTCGGCCTCTTCGCCCTTGGAGCCTCTCCGGTCGAACGAGAGGCTCACATCGCTGTCGACCGAGGAGATACTGTCCCTCGTCTCGGACTTCTTCATAGGCGGGGGCGAGAACGGCAAGCTGCCGATTTCGTCCTTCGACTCCTGCTGCATCTCCAACTCCATCTTTGTGTATTTCAGCAAAGAAATTCGGAGATGTGAGTTCTCTGGGACAGAAAGAGAGAGAGAGAGAGAGAGCACGAGAGCCGACGGTCTCTGCTCGCGCGAGCTTTAAGCCTGTTCCTCCGCGCCTCCCCGTGACGTATCTGAGAACGAACGTAGCCGATGAACCGTCCTCTCCTCCCCCGCGGCGGAAGCTTCACATTCTACCTCTTCGCGAGGATCAGTTTTACAACGAGAGTAAAAGTCAAGCGGGATCGACGGGTATAGTTACCTTTGCTCGCTCGAGCGCTTCCTCGGCACGGATCTCTCGCTGGGACGCGCGTGGGCAACGGTTAAGCGCTAAATCAGAGAACTCACGAGCACAATCGCCGCCAGCCCCTTCAACATCAACACACCGGGGAAATTAATAGTCGTGACAACGATGCGCGCGGAGCGACGTGATTAACGTATCGCGTACAATGACGTGCAGTTTACCGGTGCACACGTCCCCGCTTGAATTTCTCCGTGACCCTTCCGCGTCCCCCAATTGATCTCGACTTTTCTCCTCGAGTGGCGATCCGTAAAAATTCGTTTACTTCGCGACCGAATCACCGTGGCTTGCTTTTATATAAACTTCAATATCTCGTCAATGCGGTAACGGCGAATGCAACAATTAATTTATGTTTATATTTAATAATGTGTTTATATATTTCTAATTACTTGAATTTATGTATGATTGCAATGTATATATATATATATATATAAAAGTTGGCTCATATAGAATCAGCTAGAAACGAAGCGAGATGCGGAGGTAAAGCCGACGCAGGTGAACCCGCGAAGGGTCAAGGGACGTTACCTCTTCGTTGAGAGCAACTCACGCTCGGTCACGCTTTACTTCGCGAAGGGACAGAGCGGGAAGAATCGCGTCGCGCGTGTCACGCGATTCTCCTCGCGAATGTGGGCGCACCGGACATCTCGTCGATGCACATCACTGGGTTGTGCGTGTGAAGAAGCGTCGAGATTTTCGTCAACGGCGGTCCACGGCTGGACGGAGCCCTTGAAGCGGCGCGATCGGAGGAGAGACTTGCGAAAGGTGCGAATTGTACACGGGAGATCGTACAAGAGCGTACTCGGTCGCACTGGCATACTGGCCTTCCACGAGGCGCGCGATTCGTTTTATAGCCGCGGTGTCGGCCGCGTGTGCGGTGCGCGGCAAAGCTGCAGTGATCTCGTGGCCTTCTTGAATGCCAGTCAAGAGTGAGGCAGCGCCGAACGATCGAAGGGCACTCGAATCGGACCTTGAGCGAAGGAAAGGGATTTTAAGGAGCGCGCACAAAATTTGTCCGATCGTCCGGAGGACGAGAGGCATTTTTCACTCGCGTGTGAACTCTCACTCGGCTTTCTTACCCACGAGTTATTCGAGGAATAACGATTGTCCCAGTGCGGACAGTTCACTCGCAGATATGCAGATCGGAAGGGAGAAACTGGCTTTTCTCCAAATAAGCGCCCCTCTTCCGCCGTTCATTCATTCCTTTGATCGTGATTCGTCGTGTCTCGGAACGAGTTAGATAATTTATTCTTCCGGCCTGCCCGTGTTTGACAAAGTCACGTATCCGCGGTTATCCGCGGCCGAATCTGAGATCGTGTTCGCGACAGAAGAAGCAAATATGACTTAATTATACTTTGTAATTCTCTCCAATTTAATTCCTCTGTCGGAGAAGGACCGGCACGCGAGAGATGGTAATTTCGGGCATAAAATCGCGAACTGTCCGTGATCTCAGCGCAGTCGACGATGAGGAACGATTTCGCGGCATTTCGCGCTCGTCGCGGAAGGTCAGATCGGAACGGATCGCTCCGGCGGCGGCCGGTCGCTGCAGGAAGGAAAGACGACAAACTCGAGCCAGGCAACTCCTCACCTCGGATAACGCCCGGCGGGCCTATTCGTAAACGACGCGCATTGCATCCGTACGCCGCCAGCATAATAATATATAGGTCAAGTGCGGCTGGTGCCACGTACGGCCGTGAAGGACGACCCGCGGAGTCGTCGAAACGAAAGGGTTCGGCCCCTCGGCTGGGGCCCCTCGGGGCAAAGCGTCGCGTCGCGTCGCGTTGAGTCGCGTCGCGGTGGGCCCGGCCGGCTCGGCTTTGAAAGACAGGGTGATAACCTTGGTCTCGGCCGAAAATCGACGCTGATGAGAGAGCGACAAAAAGAAAAAGAAAGAGAGAGAGAGAGAGAGAACAGCGTTTATTTCATCCTAGGGCTAGCCCTCCAAGGACAAGCGAGATACATGATAGAGTCGAAAAGAAATCATACATTCTGGTGATTTTTAAATTACACGGACAAAAACAATTATACGAAAGCAAGAAAAAAAAATAAAAATTAAAAGCTCTGAGAGAAAAAAATAAGCTGTAAAAATAATTGTAAGTTAAATATGTATAAGGAAAGGATCGAGCTATAAATTTATGTTAAATTCAAATCTAAATCTAAGAGAGAGAGAGAGAGAAAGACAGACGCCAAGAGACGGAAAAGTCGTGCTGTATATTTTCGTGCGGGAGACGTATGTGTTCCACGTGTCTCCGGAGGAAGCGCCGACGGCTGTCTTCGGGATGTACAGGCCACATGCCGGTGCTCGCGGGTACGCGAGTCGTGAGAGAACGTGAGCGATTCCGTAATTAATCGAGCCGACGAGACGAGCGAAATCGTAATGAGAGAGCTTACCACCGGGCATTGACCAGAGACGCCGGATTACGGCGTGACGTAAACGCGTGCGCGTGTAGGTACGCACGGATGTTCCCCGAGTGAAATTCGCTCGATTTAGGAGGACCGTGCGTGGGTTAGCAGCGCCTTATTTTACCCGCTTGCGTAATTTCGGACGGCTCAATACGCCGTTTATCGGTCTCTCGTAATTTCACGCAGTGAAATCGGAAGTTCGTACGTAACATAAATATCGCTTGTAATATCATCAAGAAAGGAACGAACGAGCTGATAAAAGCCCACGCAAGGTATTATTTATGCGAGGACACCTGTACAATTAATATGAATAAATCAAAAGCTGAGCGTGGAACCCTCTGCGAGTCAATGAAATGTTATTGTGTTATTTTTATGTTGCCTGGAGGGTCTCGTATTTCGAAAGCGATTTCGGCTGGGACAAAGCCGACACCGAAGAGAATTCTAATCGGCAGCTCAGCTACAAAGATGTATCAAAAATCGGAAAGATGCGATGAATGACGATCTTCTTTGACATTTTCTACCGCAGTTGAACTCCGGGATATGTCGATAATTTTACATTGTACGATAATTTTGAGATATTATACTTTGTTTATACATCGTGGACATAATTGTCACGTGCGTGTGTCCTTTCGAAGACTTCGAAATAATTAATAACCATGAACACTAGTGATAATCATTCGTCATAATCGTGAAATTAACATACAAAAGCAAATATTGTGTGTGTGTGTGTGTGTGTACGCCACATCATATTCCTGTTCTCACACATTGGACTAATTTCACACACTGTTCGCCGTTGGCTGTATCGTTAGGGGCTTCTGGACGGTAATATGGTCATGGCCATCCATGCGAATCATCCAGGGCCTGACACTGGCTCTCTTACCACGTCTGACTCATGTGTCTTCAGTGGTTCTCCGTTATGTATTATCTATGGACATCTAACAAATACGAGAGCGATGAGAATCCTTGATGAAAATTCCTTGATTCGAGAATCCTTGATGAGATCGACAACAACCTGCGTTTTGATGCCGCGAAGTGTCTACACTTCGCGGTGATTTCGTCTTTTACACGTAGATCAACGAAAACCGATGTATGTAAAGAATGTGGTTTTGTTGGCAAGATATACATTTGAATCTATTTAAAAAATAAAGACAGCCTTCCTGAGAAGGGGACCCCGAAGAGACAACGATGCCCCACTTGTCCCGCGACAGATATCAAAAGATCTTGAAATACGAGAAAAGAATTTATCTAATAGTCCCTAAAAAAAAATCGAATAAATATATAGGAAGAGAAACTGAATAAAATGAACAAATAAAATCATACAAATTCATGAGTAGAATATCCTTTATACGAAGACCGGATGTAATCCATCTGGCAAAACCGGAAACTGAGAGTCTAAAGCCGCGAAGGATAATCCGCTCGTTCGCATCCCTTTCTCTCGCGTTTCTCATTTCGCCGACGCCGGAGATTAATACGAATAAATACCATCGCGGGCGAACTCTTATTCGACGGCGGACCCGATTATCCGCACCTTCGCGAAGTCGCACGCAGACCGGCCGCGCACAATCGATATAATACGTCGCGATTAATATCCCGGCGCGGCGTGAAATTCGCTCGCGTCTTCGGTCGTGCGCGGCCGCGCGCGTGGGTATGATAAATTGAAAATAAAATTGATCCGTCTATTTGGCCGCGCTACCCTGACCCAGTTCAAGCTCGAGATTCCTGTCTCCCGTGAATAGGACAAGCGGCAAAAGCCGCCTCGGGGAATCGCCGCCCTCCATGCGAACTTCGAATGCACGTTTCTCGACGTTATCCAAGTAATTGTTCGCGCGCTCGTGGTGCTCCCTTGCAATTACGAGCGCGAAACTATCGGAGATTCGGCCGAAACCGCCAACGCGTAGCCGAAGTTATGTCACTCTTTTCCTTCTCATCTTCATTCGCGTAATGCCGTACTCACGTGCATACCGCGCGTAATCACAGCGATTGCCTTGCGGCGAAGTACAGCGCGTACGGATAATACGCGGTAGCCTCTTCTCTTAAGTTGCGGTCTCCGGGCTCGATGCGTGTTACGTAACGCCGCGAAGCCGTGCAGAAGCGCCTAACTTAAATACTTTTACGTAAATCTTTTCCCCGCTTAATCTGATTTATCCGTTACGTCACGACGACGCCTCCGCTTCTTTTGACACCTCGTTTCATCACGGCGCGTATCGCGCCTTTTAATTCACACGTATTTGTCGGGATAACTGTGAAGCTACGCCTTAGGAATGCCGGGCCATTTAATGGACCGGGAATAATTGAAAACTCTTGATGTAATACATCCGTTTTTAAATATTCCTCCCGATCATTACGGGAAGCGGTACATTGGAAGAAAAGTTTGGGTGACAATTACCAAACATTTAGTGAAATCGATTTAACCGAGCGATTTCGTTACAGTAACCGAGTCATTTCGTCGCATGGTATGTGTAATTAAATTATTTGGTTAGTGTAACCCCAAGTCATTCAATTACACGTACCGCGCGACTAAATGATTTGGTTATTGTTAACCAAATCATTTAGTTGAAACTGTTTCACTAAATGTTTGGTAATTGTTACCAAACTCTTTTTTCAGTATAACGACGTTTCGTAGCATCAATGACCGTTTGACAGCTTGATGGCCAGTCGAGGGTGGTTTCATTCAAGTCAAACTGGTGTTTTCTTCAGTTCGGCTTTATATCTCACAAAAAGCGTCGGTGAAAATGTAGCTTCCAAGGGACATGGGATTAAAATACCTGTAGGCAGAATCCGACGTAGAGGATGCCAAATAATTAATTTTCGTGAAACCCCCGTCGACGTGGCTTTACTCGTTGCCGAGATATTAATTACGAAAGTTCGTTAATAGATCGATGAAAGAGGAACATCTTCACTCGTTCGGCTAATTGCAATCGAAATGTCTGTAGATACGATTGATTCTGGAGACAAAATAAGGAACTTTCGTGCAATCGCCGTCGATCTAGCTTAGCGCATAGCCGAGATATAAATTACGGAGGTTTCACAGAGCTAGTGCGAAAAGGCCCGGATGGACGAGCATACTCTGGTGCGCGCGATTGAATGAGTGGGGTGAAAGTCGCGAAGTTACGCGTGGGCCGCGCGGCAGCGAAGTGGTGGGACAGGTCCGGGTTGCGTAGCGTAGGCATGCTGTTATTGCGCATTTTCTCCCCCACCTAACGTAAGCAAGTGTCATTGACCTTGCCCAACTAGCGACGAACAATTTACCGTTTGCAACTCGATACGATCGTTAATATCTTCGCTTCTAGGTGTCGTAGAGACTTCGGGCACGACTCGTTGGAAAGCTGAGACTTTTGCGCATCTGACTAATGCGCCGTCATTCTTCTCGCCGTTGGAGATTGATTAGTAAAACAGGATGAAAAAATGATGTCGCTAATTACACACAGCGGAGGTACTAATTACGAAATTCGTAACAGATTGATGCAAAAATATCACTGAAGAATTGTGACAGAAAAACCTACAGGTTCAAATCTAGACAGGGGCAAATCTAGAAGGGAAATCGATAAGTTCAAATAATTGTAAAATATTTTACATATTAAATGGCGGGAGATCGCTACTAACACGGGTGTTCTTCAAGAACTTCCGACTATGGAGTAAACGTCATGATATTTCTTACAAAGTTTGTATAAAAAGATTTTTATTTAGATTTTGCTGACATCGCGTAATTTTCTTTCGAAATATATATTTTATTAATATTATACATAAAATAGAGCATTCGCTTTTGTATGTTACAGGATCGCAATTGGAGCTAATTAAATTAAATTTATACACTTTGTAATACATACGCAGATCCGTCCATTTTAACAGATTCTCAATAACAAAAATACTTTATATTATAAAAAATAAACTAAGGCAATAACTTTCATATCCTGAAATGACTTTACTTACAACAAAGTTATCCTGACTTAGAACAAAGTTATGCTATGAGACGTCTTTATGTCGCAAGTAATTTTCTTCTGGAACATTTTCTCCTGTGCTAATGGTAGTTTCACGAATAACAATCGGAATTAAAACGGAGAACATTCTGTATATACTAACTTAAAAAATATAAAAATCTGTAGTCTTTTTTAGAGTCAATGTGGATCTTAATCGTTAACGGCATTGTACACAGTGCTGCTTTATTATTGATTTAGAGATGTCTGCACGACCTGGAAGAAAAAAATATACTAAATATTTTGTTATTATCTTAATTATGCAAGATACGATAATACTTGATATAAAATAATAGAGTTTGGTGCGCATGACATATATTATCTGTCATCCTTCGTCTCATTCTGCATAACAATAATTTATTAATATTAACGTAACAAAATAAACATTACCTAATTGCAGCTCTATGTACAAGGCCAACATGATCACTTGTATAGGTACATCACAATCTTGCGGTTTCGACACCCATACCTGGAATAAAAAATTTTTCAAGTTATCATATGATAGCCTTTAAAGAACAGGTTAAATCTGTCTTAAGGAATCTACTCACCTGTTTCAAAGTTTCTCCAGATTTGTCTAGTTCACCACGTATGGCGTAAGCCACGGCCAAGTTGTAACGTAACACAGCAACACCCGTAGAAATTGTTGTAGGATACCACGCTGAAAATTTTGAAGAATTACCTTCCTGTATTTTATACTGCGTTCAAATTTGTGTGAATGAAACGTCACAAGAAAAGAAAATTCCCAAAACAAACGAGTAAGGCAACTGTACCTATCTCTGGATTATTATTTATGCTTAAAAAAATGTATCAATTCATGAAAATAAATGTGATATTGTAATTAAAACTTTAAGATAATACTTTTACTCTATTGAAAGTTAAACTATATATTTAATTAAAGTCTGAAACGTCAAGGGTTGTCCAGAGGTTATAAACGCGTCCAAATATTGGTACTTTTATCTTATAACCGCGAACATAAATTATTTTACTTTTTATAGGCTTCGTCACGACTTCCTCCGCTTTCTCTTTATCCTTCTCGGGGATTTCCGGTATGGTCGTAAATGTATTTAAATCTTGAAGATTTTCGGGCTTTAGGTATTCGAGAGCTTCGCTGATTTTGTCCATGAATATCAGGCTCTCGGCGGCGTATAAATTACCCAACATTCTGTATGCACCGGGCAATTTGTTAAAGCTCAGTAGTGCCTTTGCATGCTCGAGGGCAAGCGTGTAATCTCCAAGACACAAAGAAATATATGCGCTGGCGGCCAACACGCTGATTTTTAAATTAAAAGATTCAATAGCCGTGGCCTGGGACATCGGCGTTGTATTATGCTGAACACCTAAAAAGTAATTACGTAAAAATATAAATTATAAAATCACGTGCGTGCAATGTAGCTTGAAATCCATACCTAAGTTGTGACCGGGTGTTAACGACAGTGATACTGTCTGTGAATTTGTGGCAGTTGTCGCTGGTACATTTGGCTCGCTGTTGTTCGGCAGTAAAAATAACGCATTCTTCAGACATAAGGATCCGAATTCCAACGTGGGCTGTGGAATCGCGTAGGACAAGCCCTCAGAATGATAATTGACTTTTTCCGAAAGGGACGTGGCTAGTATGATTTTCCTGTAGATACCAGAACCTACGACTTTCTGCACCAAATCCTCGCGTCGTCGTAAAATTTTGAAATCGACTTCATTTGACTGGAAAATATAAGTAATATATCATTACATACGTCATTTTAATGGGAAAATGCATCTTTACTTAAAAAATGCCGAAAATAAATGGAGAAATATAGATATCATATGCAATTCTCTTTTTACCTTCTTAACGTAAATAATAAATCCGTGGTCGAAACGAAAACTAAAACTTCCTACTTACGTACATAGATGAATTAGCGACACCAACAATATCAACTGTAACTTACATGTTTGTGACAATAGATACAGCATTCCGCCATTCTGAGCCACAGTTTAGGATTATTGTGAAACCTCTGTGCCGCCTCCGTGAAACAATCGAAGGCTTTTGATGCTTGACCAGCGTACAATAACGATACTCCCAAACTGTACATCAGCTCGTAGTGTTTATTGCTACCAAGCGTGTACAGTGGTTGAGAGGATAAGGCATCTGTAAAAATTGTGTTTATTAGTATTAGTGATATACAATGTTTACACCCACAAAATTAATGAATTTTACAATTGGAACTAAGTCCAAATGAATTCAGATTGAAAAATAGATGTATATATGCAATAAAAACTTCAAGAATTACCGATATCTTTAACCTGCACACTTTCCACCGCGCATTTATTTTCATGAAGAGCTTTTCGCAGATAAAAACAAGCCAAATTTGGCTTGTCCATTGCGAAATGCAAACATGCCATATTGTTATAATATAAAACGGCCAAAGACTCCCCGCACGATCTGCAAATCACACATTAAAACGATATATTTTAGGAGAAGAGAATCACGAAATAATTTTATCTATTTGAAACACAATATAGCACATTTGTATGCATCTCATATAGTAGGTATGAAAATTCTCAACTTAAGTTCATGCATTTATGCTAAATCTAATTTGCACGCAAGACGTACTTAAAATCTAAGTTTTCTGTGGTTGCAGAATTCAACAATTTCATTGCCTTTCTGTGATTTCCCCGCAAATATTCCAGATTAGCTTTCAAAAAAATCGTTGATGTATTCTGGAAACAATAATAAAGTAATACAATTCTCATGGTGTTTTCCACGATCGCATGTTAAAAATAAACAAAATTAATTTTTAAAAAAAGATAATGGTGCACTAATAAAATGCATCAATAACAGTGCTACAATAATTGTTCTCAATTTATATATTGATGTAATGAGTTATATTACCACCACTGGTGTACCCAGTGAAACTAATGTTTTCCATTCTTTTTTGCAGAGTTTCAATTGATGGGTCAGAAGGTATATTCTTGCTTTATATTTCAAGAGTTTTATCTTGAACGCATCTGTCGCAGTATCACTAATACCTTTCTTCTGTTCTTTCTGATCCTTCACAGACTTCATCACACCATCTTTGTCAACAGTTGATATCTTAGAATTGTCAATAGATACAAACTGACTCTCCACATAATTCAATATTGAGAGGCCTATATCTGGTTGCTCTGTTACTATATATAACTCGATCAGTAGCAAACAAACTTTGTGTGCTAGAGTTTCTTCTGCAAACAATAATTATACGTAAGTACATATCGAATTCAGCATTCAAAGGAAAATATTCATGTGATTGTAAAGTTCGACATAACTACATCCAATTGCTTTCTGAGTTACTATACATACCCATTGGCTCTATAAAAGCAAAGAGCCTGTTCATGATTTGAATCGCTGCATTATATTGTCTAGTATGATACAACAGCACAGCTTGATTATACCTCATCACACACTTCTCCACGTCATCGATGATCTCACTGGAGTCCGTCGTTGATATCTGACCGCATATAGCGTTCAAACTTTTCCGCATCAATTCGGTTTTCTTCAAATCGCTCTTGTAGTATTCCACGACAACCTTGTTGTGCGTAACTTTGAGATCCGTAGGCCTGAGGCTTTCCAGCTTGTTTAAATGCGACAAGCATGATGCGTAGGAACCTTTTTGGAAATCTGACAGCGCATTCTGAGCCAAGGTACGTTCCTGCTCAGTTATAACAGAGACCGCGCTGTCCTTAATTTGGGTTTCCGCAGTTTCACTCATAACGATATGACAATATATAACGATCGTTTCTTATCATACGCGTGCGATTGTAAATTTACACGATTTAATTCCTAAGTAATTGTAGTCTTGCAGATTCTCATCTTCGTCTGTCTTTAACTTGATTATGTCAAGATTAGATCGAGTTACTACTCTAAGCAAGGACGATATTTAGAGGTTAGAAAAGACGACAGCGGTAAACAGTAGATCGTAGTAGAGGCAGTGCTGTTCCCTCTTTTCATTGGGAAAGATTTCACCAATGAAAAGATAGTAGAAAGAGAGAGATCCGTGAGAAAACATCTACTTCTCTCTCTCTTTCCAATCTGAGTCTAGCAACACGAGGAAGATCAAAATATCCTGCATGCTGCGTCCAGTATTATACGTCGGCGTTTCACACAACACGTGGTACCGAGTGTACACGCCGGATCGGATTTGTTAATTGAATAATAACTAACTAATCGCAAGATGTTGAAGTTTTGCCCACTGTGCATAAAGAACGGTGTTAAAAATCGGATCAAAGCGTTCCAAATCAACCTAGAGGAAGCGATGTGGAGCTGCGAGAATTCGAACGTAAATATTAATATTTTTCTGGATCTTCTCTTGCATATTTATTTGCGCTCGCAAAATATAAATGTATCTGTTTGTGTTTCAGTGCGTCTGGCCTTTGGGCTACGAAGATCTGACAAAGTTGATCTTTCAAAGATCAGCCTCAACATGTACTTGGGAAGATACGTATCTCGATGAAGAATGTACACCCACGTTAATAGAACTGACACTTTATACACCACCTATGACTCCCCTGGAATGCTCGGTAAACTCTACAATGCAAGACAAACCTAGCGAATTATCGTCCACAAGTGAGTCTATCGATTCAAAGAGAGAAATTATAGACTGCAAAAGGCTGCCGAATGAGTTAGCAGCTAAGTTTACAAAAGAAAAGGATATAAATGCGAATGCTGATAAACCGTTGCCTAAGATTGTTAATATTGAGAAAGTTAACATTGATATTACCAAAATTCTTCAAGATAAACATCCCAGTGATGGAAAAATGCAGGAGCATTTGTCTGCAACCTCTGTAACGAGTACTGCAGAAAATTATGGTGCTTCCGCCGACATAGAATACTATGAATTTAATTCACATAAACAATATAAGACTGGAAAGGAATGTAAAGGAAGGAAAAATGACAATGTACAAAGAAACGAAGCGTATAATTTAGATGCAGGTATTAGCTCGAATATACCATCAGTAACTACAAATATGGAAGTTCAAGTGGATATTATAAATAATCCAAATAATCCAGGAACAAATGGTTCTACATTAGATGTTACAAATACTAACGACACGAATATAGATACAATGTTGGATGATATTTTGGAAAATGCAAACGAGATTACCAAAGATATGAGCTATGATTGGCTAGATTTTATACAAATTTAATTCAAAATAGCTTATATTTTGTTACTTAATATCACTCGTGTGAAACGAGTGATATATAACAAAAACGTGTGAAACTTGTAAGAACGACTGCAGATTGGAACTACTTTTTTATCTTCTTTTTTCTGATAAAAAGAACATCAAGTGATAATAGCTTAATAAAATCAATAAAGAAATTAAAAGATACCATATATATATATTTTGTAATTATATAGTCTATTTTTGTTTACTTGTATTTTTGATTGTTATTAAGATGGCAATTGTCTAATAAAAAGCGAATGATGAAAAATATTTGTATTAAGATCCGTCGTATAATTCGTTTGAGCAGTTTACGTACGTGTTGAAATGATGGTCTCATCGATCGTACATTATTCGCGTATGCATTTGGTGATGTAAACATTTTTATGCAACTTATCTATACGAACAACGCTGTTTACCGGTAATGATCGTGAAAGTTGAAGAACTGTCTAAAGAATTTAAATTTTGGCCTCTGGAGAAATATATACGCAAGCAGTTTAGAGATGGCGCGTCCATCTACACCATTTGCCATTCATAACGAACGATGTTTACGTCTTCGTCTACTAAAAAAATATTCAACTTTACTAGGGATGCGTTCCACCTAAACGCTCGCAACGATTGCAAGCTTAGGCCGTGTCCAAATGTCCAATCGCATTGGTCGATTCGGCAAATTGACTAATATGATTGGACATTGTAGATTCGGCTTATAGTCGCGAGTCGTTGCGAGCGTTAAGTGGAACGTGCTCATAGAAAGATGGTTTGTTCAATAACGGGATTTCTAGGAGTCTCACGTACGACGAAGCGAAACGGTTTTCAATAACAGCGCGTCGGCGGTAAATCTGCGAGGTTAGGAACGAACGTTTGGAATTGGGGAAACACGATTTGCTGCGGTTTTGTAATTATTTAGCTATAAGCTAACAACTTTCTCTTTACATCAGAGAGATATTGATAAAAGAGAAGATGGATTTTCTGGAATATCCTGACATTGTCGCCGAAGTTAAAGGCGCGATGGTAAGAAACTTTGTTGCTTTAAAGGCAAACAATCTTGCACAATTGATCGTAATAATAAAGAGGAAATTTTGCACGATTCATAATCGCGGAATTCGTAATCCAATAATACGATCGGGCTAACAGTTACCTTCTCGTTATGTAAAATTCATCACGCTAATATCTAACTTGATGAAATCTCGATTTTAAGTTTGACTGGAACACATGAATGCATCTATTAAAATTACTTTATTTTCCTTCCATCAGACACCAGGTAAATTAAAGTTGACCGATCAGCACCTGATCTTTAAGAGCCAGAAAACTGGCAAGGTGGAACAAATCTCTGCTTCCGACATGGAGATGGTGAACTATCAGAAATTTATCGGCACTTGGGGTTTGCGTATTTTTTTAAAGAACGGCACTCTGCATCGCTTTCGAGGCTTCAAAGAAGCCGACCAAGAGAAGATTGCGAAATTCTTCTCTGTGAATTATAAGAAGGAGACTCTGGAGAAGGAACTGAGCTTGAAGGGTTGGAACTGGGGTACAGCTAAATTCACAGGCTCAGTTTTAAGCTTCGATGTAGGCCACCATACTGCTTTTGAGATACCTCTATACGATGTATCGCAGTGTAACACTGGAAAAAATGAAGTGACCTTGGAGTTCCATCAGAATGACGATGCTCCGGTCAGTCTGATGGAAATGAGGTTTCATATTCCCGTAAGTGACAGTGTTGATCAAGATCCTGTGGAAGCGTTCCATCAGCAGGTAAGAAGATCTATAGATTTACTTATCCACAACCAACTAATGTACCAGCGTAAAAGAATAAAGTCGAACGAAGAAGGCTGATCCGCTTGTCGCTCGTAACAGGTGATGGAGAAGGCATCCGTGATTAGCGTGAGCGGCGATGCGATCGCCATATTCAAGGAAATCTATTGTCTGACGCCACGCGGTCGTTACGACATCAAGATCTTCCAGACGTTCTTTCAGCTGCACGGAAAGACCTTTGATTATAAAATCCCCATGTCGGCGGTTCTAAGACTCTTCCTGCTGCCTCACAAGGACAATCGGCAGATGTACTTCGTCGTAAGCCTGGATCCTCCCATAAAGCAGGGTCAAACGCGATATCATTATCTGGTGCTGCTGTTCAAGCAGGAGGAGGAGACCTCCATCGAGTTACCGTTCACTGAGAAAGAACTGAAGGAGAAATACGAGGACAAACTGAGCAAGGAGTTGGCGGGCCCGACGTACGAGGTGCTGGGCAAGGTTAGTAGACGTGCTTGCTGTGATATCGTTTTAAGACTGCTCGAGAATCCCTCGTTTACGTTACACAGGTGATGAAGGTGATCATAAACCGGAAGCTGACCGGGCCGGGGCACTTCACGGGCCACACCGGGACGCCGGCGATCGGCTGCTCGTTCAAAGCTGCCGCCGGCTACCTGTACCCGCTGGAACGCGGCTTCATCTACGTGCACAAGCCGCCGATACACATTCGTTTCGAGGAGATCGCGTCGGTGAATTTCGCCCGTGGCGGCGGTTCCACGAGGTCCTTCGACTTCGAGATCGAGCTGACGAGCGGCGTGGTGCACACGTTCAGCAGCATCGAGAAGGAGGAGTACGGCAAGCTGTTCGACTTCATCATGCTGAAGAAGCTGCGCGTCAAAAACCGCGGCAAGAGCGACAAGCTGAACTACGACCAAGACTTCGGCGACAGCGACCAGGAGGACGAGCCGGACGCTTATCTGGCGCGCGTGAAGGCGGAGGCGGAGGAACGGGACGGCGACGATAATCAGGACTCCGAGGAAGGCTCGACTGATGAGGACTTCAACCCGAATCAAGACGAGAGCGACGTCGCCGAGGAGTACGACAGCAACCCCAACAGTTCCGACAGCGGCGAAGACTCGGACGCGTCCGCGGCCAGCCACAAGAAGGAGAAGAAGGAGAAGAAGGAGAAGAAGTCGAAGTCGGCGAAGACCGTGTCGGAGAAGCCGCGCAAGCCGCGGAAGCCGAAGAAGGAGAAGGACGCGAACAAGCCGAAGAGGCCGCCGACGGCGTTCATGCTGTGGCTGAACAGCGCGCGCGAGAGCATCAAGGCGGACAACCCGGGCATCGCCGTCACGGAGATCGCGAAGAAGGGCGGCGAGATGTGGCGGGAACTGAAGGACAAGTCCGAGTGGGAGGCGAAGGCGGCCAAGGCCAAGGAGGAGTACGCCGTGTCGATGAAGGAGTACGAGGCGAGCGGCGGCGGCAAGTCGAAGGACAAGTCGGACAAGAAGGAGAACGCGGGACCGAAGAAGAAGAAGGAGACGAAGAAGGACTCGCCCAGCAAGATTATGAGCGGCTCCTCCTTCAAGAGCAAGGAGTACATCAGCGACGACGGCAGCAGCAGCAGCGACGAGAGCAAGAAGTCCGGGAAGAAGCGTCCCTCCGACGACGGGGACAGCGTGGACGAGAAGAAGAAGAAGAAGGGCGACAAGCGGCCCGCGGAGAGCACCGGCAATGCGTCGAAGAAGAAACGAGACCAGTCGGACGACGGAGAGAGCGACGCGGAGGAGGTGGAGAGCACGCCGCCCTCGTCCGACGCGGAGTCGAAAGACAGCGATTAAACTCGACGGCCCGAAGAGAATTTCCTCGCGCACGGTGAGCATCCGCGCGTCTTCGCCGTGGCAACTTTTTCATCGACAAACGGAAACAGCTTTTTTACTTCCACTGAAGTTTACATGGGAACACACGAGTACTGACTATTATAAATGTTACGTTTCTAACGTGTTTAATTGTAATAATAGTGTTAGTATAAGAATATGTTGAGTGAGAGAGAGAGAGGGAGTGTGTGCGTGTATGTGTGTGCTGAGATAATAGATATCGTATCTTTGGATAGAAATTCGCAACGTGTTGGAGTATTCATTTTTATCAGTCAACATTTCCTTCTCAACAGATAATTTACGACACAGGCCCGTTTGTAAATTTTGTTGTAAAAAAATGTAGATTTTTTGTTTCTATTGATAAAAGTGCCTTAGCAACCACCCGATTCGCTGAAGAGTCGCATTCAAAGTACTTTTATCGATAATGGAGAGTTCAGAGTCAGTTCTTTTTATTGTTATCAAAGATATCTCTTCTCAGTGATAAGAAAATGGTGAATCAGGGATAAGAATTCTATATCTCTATGAATTATAGAATATTTATTTCCACGCGTCATTATCATTTAATATACCATTTTGTTTTTACAACAATTAACATTATTTCATTGTACAATTTTGTCTCTAAAGTGGAAAAGAGCTGAGGATTCAATAAAAGTTATGCGCTAATTGAAGTACAAACAAGTTATCCTGTTATATATTTCCTACTGTGTATATATAACGTGAGAACAGTAACGTAGTTTCCGCGGTGATACGACTGTTGCCTTTAAATGCTTCGAGTATGGGTGTGTAAAATGCTATAACAAGATATGCGAAACATTCAATTCGAACAGTTCAGTAGCGATAAGTATGATACAAGTGAGACTAGATGATAGCAATAACTATTTGTCAAAACAGGTAAAAATCATTTTGTTTTCTAATATAAGAAATAGGAACAAGAGTACAAGTGAAATAATTGTTTGGTTGCTACCAACAATTTGTAAATGAACTACATAGAATATAAGGTTGAATCAAGCACGTATTGTGAGCATTTCTCTGTCAACTGTGCGGCTTCTTTTCCTTTTCGGTCTCTAGGTAATTCGTCTCCATGTCTTTGAGCTCAATGTGCTGCTCCTTCATGGCCTTCTAAAACGCACAAATGCAAAATTGTCAATGTTACACAAATGTTATTCGACATCGCCGGGAATTCTCTCAAATAGTCGATGGCTTACGAAGAATATACTCTGCGAGAAGAAAGAGACTTTTGAGAAACTTACCGCTACGCAATCTTTATAAACTTTAAGTAAAGAAGCGCACATTGAATCGTTGGTATCCCCTTTTAAAAACTTTTCGGAGAACCAACTATTGAAACAGGCATCGTACTTTTGTTTCAATTCACTGCAATCTTCCATGTTGCGCTCTTTCTTATCTTTCTCATAGGTCATAAGCTCGCAGAGTACCTGAGGATACAAGCAAGATACAACGTTGCTTTAATTACCTTGACACATTGCTGATATACTTTGAATAAATGCGTGCATGCGTTGTCGCTCGTATCACCTTTCAAGAATCTCTCAGAGAACCACGTGTGGAAGCAAGAGTCATACTGTTGTTTCGCCTCGTTGCACGCTTCGCCTATGCTGTTCATGAATAAATCTCGATACCGTTCTGAAATCTATCCGCAATCCATCAGCATTAACTGGCGATTCAACGTAGAAAATACACGGCGATTAACGCAACAGCGAATGATCTCGATGAGCGCATTCACTTGAGCCGTGCGACGGAAACACTGTCCTAACCTAAAATCGCACAAGGCACAATCGCGACGATCGCGCGTGATAGCGAGTATACTCACTTATAATGTAGCAGTGACGCGGCGAAAATTCTTGAATTCCAATCGAACTCAGATCAGGCCGAGTCAGATCAGCCACGCTGATGATGATGATGCAAATTGTAATACACACCGAGCATACGCAGACGACGCCGCGCTCTTCGCAATACGCGCTAATCAGCGGGGAGTCTGCGCATTGGATCGCTGCGCGACCAATCGGTGAATCCACCGATGCCTCCATTCCCGAGTCACGTTATCTTGCGTTGCGCATCGGCTCTTAATACACGGTGTCAGGCGAACGAATGTAGCGAACGTTTCGAAAGATGTCAGATGGTACGAACCGTCGAACCGCGCGAATAACACCTGCTGATTATCATCATTAATCGCCGCCGCGGAGGTGACGGTGCTCGATGTGTCGTCACGCGATTTAAACGACCTAATTCACGACATCGCCATTCTACGACGAAATGCCTCCTCGTGGCTGCGAATAAACGTTGGACTTTGTTTGCGAATTCCGGGAACCACTTGACTCAATGCTGTGGCATTCGCTGATAAGCCACCAGCTCGACGACAGCCTTTAGCTCTCCTCCAGCAACACCGGAACGATGAGCAGCAAACACAGTCCGGGTAGGATCACCTTGGGGATGATGAAGGGTGAGTGTGAACGAGACGCGCGAATACGTGGGAACTCGCGCGCGCGATAAATCCTTTATCGAGCGCTCCATTGATTCTCGCTTTCCTCACCAAGGCAAGCCGATCACCACGTCCGTGCCGGTGATCCACTACCGAGCCAATGACGACGAACTGGAGGAGCTGTACCCGAGCTCCTCGGACGAGGAAAAACTCCCCACCCCGGAATCCGACAAGGCGAGGATCCCGTCGAGCCCTTCCAAGAGCAGCTACAACGGCCAAGAGAACGAGTCAGGGAGACGCTCCGCCGACAGCAACTTATCGGAAGGCACTCCGCCATCCTCGGATCCATGGAAGATGCTGTCGGAGATCAAGGGGAAGATCACCAAGACGTTCGAGGCGAAGCTCTCCGAGATGAAGAGCGACAAGAAGAAGAAGAAGCGTCTCAACAAGGACAACTCCAGCATCAGCGATTCCGAGGACTTTGGTGACGTCACGCCGACCGACGAGAACGTCAACGAGAAGCAGGAGAAGGGATCGGGCGAGGTTCCTCATCGTAAGAGCAACACCTCGAGATTCGTGGGCTTCTCGCAGGTGAGAACCGGCTTGAAGACCAAGAGCTCTCAGGACGACAGTGTGGAGAGCGGCGTGGAGGCTGCCGAATTCCCCGAGGATGTACCGGAGCCGCTGCCTCTCGAGTCCCAGGGTGATTTTAACACCGAGGACAAGAGGAGCGACCTCTTCAGCCAGCCGGACGGTTACGTCCCGATGAAACGGGAAGTGACGTTCGGCGAGCTGCTCTCCCGCCTGAAGGATCGCGTACTGCGCCAGCTGACGAAGCAGCTTACCGCACTGATATGCCTCGTGTTGGCTTCCTGCTACCTCCTTCCGCTGCCCGCGCACCTGCTCGGCTTCTCCATAGGAGTCTTCGCCACGTTGACGACGTACAAGTTCGTGCAGAGGATCAAGGAGGTCCTGGCGACGCCGTTGGAGACCGAGCCCGCGCATACGGTGGTGCCCGTGCTGGAGATACCCGCGGCGGAGGAGCACGCGGTCCAAGAAAGATACGAAGGATGGCTGAACGAATTGCCGTACACTTACGATCCCAACAACTACCACGTGGCACGTACAAAGTCAGTCTTCTTCAGCCTGGAAGGCGGTGTGCTGCGCGTCATGGAGACCAGGATGAAAGTACCAAAGAGAACAGTGTGGGATGAGCCCAAGCGGAAGTACAAGTTCACCAGGAAACGCGTGTATAATCTCACCGGTGCGAAGGTGGAACTGCTACCGGATGGGCTCATTCGAAGGAGGTAATTAACGTGTGATTAGCGTATCAGAGCGGAGGGTCTCGTAACTTCTTGGCTATCTTAAATTAATCGTGCGGACAGTTCGTTTTATGAAAAGATGTTTTAAATAAAGGTTGCGTTTCGACGGGACATTTAATGTCCCATCCCCTTGAAATTAGATCAATAATCAGATTTCCGCTATCTTGCTTTTTTATTGGCAAATAAATCATCTTGTACTTTTTAAATAGAATATTCTATATACGTGTATCTTTCTCTCCTTGAGGGCCAGCGATGACGGCAAGAAATAGGAATTGTTACGAAATAATTGATGACCTCGCAGTCGGTTTTTCAGAAATAATAATAATAATAATCTTTATAAATGTGGAACAAAACCCTTTGATGCACATGAGTGAGAGGTCATAAATGACAGGCAATTTGTAAAATCCGGTAGATCCGAAATAGCGAAACAGAGAGTATAATTTAAATATATGAGAAAAATAAACTAAATAAGAAAATAAATAATACATAACAATAACATAATAAAAATATATAATTATATAATTATTTCATTGCTTCTGAATCGCAAAACAAATTCTCTCTTCGAATAAAGAAATTTTCCCACGCAGGAGATGGAGTAAGAAATATCCAATTTGTATCACGATGGATCGCGGAGCGTTGATAGACAGCACGACATTGAGCAACTTGGCGAACGGGTTCGAGAAGGATACCTTCGAGGACGAGAAGAGGATTTCGCAGATGGAAGGAGCCAACGAAGGGGGCGATGAAAGTACCTTGGGCGAGGAGACGAAGAGTGACGATGAAGATTCCATATTAGAGGCTTTCAAAGACAACGAAGAGGAGGAATTGAAGATCGACGAAGACGAGGACGAAGACGATCTTTCGCAGTCGAAATCCCTCAGGAGTATTTACGAGGATTGTCGCGACGACGAGGAGATTACCAAATGCAAGATATACGTGTTTGCGCGCGCCGATCGAGAAAAGGAAGACTGGTAAGATCTCTTATTTCTTCAAAACACTTTGTAGATTGTAAACATTGATCGATTTAATCGAAACAGTCATGATAGAACCCGGTTAAACTTTCTTTATTTCCGGAATGTGCGCTCTTTAAAATTAAAGCAACTTAGAATATGGAATCCCACAATATACGATCATTACAAACTTCGGCGGCTGATTTTTTCAGGTTTCGGAGATTGACGTTGGCAACGTCTGTCTCGAAGAAACGACACTCCACCTGCTCCGTGAACGATTGCGCGAACGTAAGCCCGGCCCAGCCGGATACGGCGGAAGTGAAATTGCTCGAAGTGTCGCCCGAAGTCAGCTACAACACGTATATGAGCAAGTACCTGGATGTAAGCGACGCTGCAATCGAATTTATTCTAGAAACCTCGTATAGCTGATCGAACCGATTGACCTTTTAGGTGGATCCCGAGGGTTCCCCGAGGGAGAACGACGTTCTCTGGACAAACTGCCTTCTGGGACGGCTGCTGTTCGACATGCACGACTGCCCGGAGACGATCAATCTCATTCAGGATAAGATCCAGCGCAAGCTCTCCAACATAAAGCTTCCATACTTCATGGAGAGCCTCCTGGTGTCGGAAGTTGTGATCGGACAAGAGCCTCCGACGATTCATAAGGTCACCAAGCCGACGCTCGACGAGCGTGGACTCTGGCTTGACCTGAACATCACCCACAAGGGCTATCTGACGATGACCGTGGAGACGAAGCTGAACCTGATGAAGCTGACGCGCGCGAGCACCGTTTCCAGCGACGTCGTCGACGAGAAGTCGGCCCCCACCAGATCACCGATGTTCGACAGCGACGTAGAGGACAGCCCGGAAACGTCCACGGAAGACGAAGATGTCGGGAATATCGCGTCGTGCGACCACAAGGACGGCACGTAAGTTAATTTCTAAATCTAATAACGAACGGTTTACATGCAGTAAATATCGGATGGCTTAGTTATACAGTTATTATTTTTCAACATATCATCCGAACACGTTTTTTGCTCTCTCTTGAAAAAAAAAAAAAGAAAACAGAAAGACATAGATATTTTTGTCCAAAAAACAGACATAATTTTTTAAGATTATATGGAAATGTATAATCGATGTTATGCGAGGTTTCGCAATATGACCGATATGATAATGCAAATGATAAATGACAAACGATGAAATTCTATATTGCAGGCCGACACAGTCTTCCGGCAAGAAATTCCTCAGCATGGTCGACAAGTTGACAGCCAACAAGTACTTCCAACACGTAAGCGAGAAATTTGTTTAATCAGGTGTTGGATTTATTATCACTGATATAATGACGACAGCGGCTGAACGGGGGGCTTGACCGATTAATCGAGCAAAACCAACTGTTCCGCAGGCCACGGAGTTATCTTACATACGAAGGGCGATGGAGGGTGTCTCCAACAAGGAGATTCGCTTTATGGTGAGCGTGTCTGGCATCGAAGGCTGCCTTTCGGTGAACATTCCTCCGCCACCTTCCGACCGACTCTGGTACGGCTTCAAGACGGTGCCGAAGATTGCTCTCACCGTGAAACCAGCCCTCGGCGAGAGGGCCGTCAACATCGCGTACGTGACCAAGTGGATCGAGACCAAGCTGCTCAGGGAATTCGAGAAACTAGTTGTCCTGCCAAACATGGACGATTTAGTCCTACCACTCTGCCCAAATTATCCGTTTGTTGCGACGTAAAAGTGAGATCGTCTTGCGTCGGTGAAAGATGTCTCCTCGTTCAACTCTTTTAGTTTCTTAGTTTTTGTATTTTCTATTTGTAATGACTTTGTCTATTTTTTTTTTTTCTTATGTGATTCTTTTCTGTGATCACGATTTTTATACGATCGTGTGTGTGTTGAGAGAGAGAGAGAGAGAAAGAAATGGAGAAGTTTTTCTTTCCTATGTACTACGATTTACCGAAATTTTCGTAAGAAATGCCTGCGAGAGAGAAAACGAAAATGAGGAGACTTTCGAACTTCTCGTGGATGAGAATGACGTAACTTTAATTGTTTTTACATATGATTTTTTAATGTTATCGTTATTATGTTGTTTACACACCGCCGAGTGCGTTCAACCTGTTACGTATTACGCGAGTGTATAACATAGAAAGAGACAGAGAAAGAGAGAAAGAGCGCGAAAGAAAGAAAAAAAAGATTGTGATATCGTCCGTTATAAGTTACATTACGGATATTATTTTTACATTTTATAAAAATTAACAAGAGAGAGAAAAAGAGAGAGGAAGGGGGAGGGGAGATTAAACTCGCCACGCGAGTGAAGCATTGTTTTTATTAGAATATTATAAGAGAAAATATAGCGAACGAGGGGAGAGAGATAAAGATAGAGGAGTAAAGCGATTTAATCAACGTTAAGTGCAAAACTTGCTGCAGATTGTTTAACTGTACAATTGTAAATATTAGGAAATCGATCCCGTGCCAGCCGTCGCGTCATTCCAGAGGGAGAAGAGATACGCGTCGACGTTTGTGTGAGCGTGTTCAATTAAACATTTGATTACGCGGCAGCTGATGAGGGTGTATTTTGCTAATTTATTGTTAACACACGGGTATCATTGGGTGGGTGTCATTGAATGAATTGCAATGAAATCAAACAATCGGCAAATTTAGCCAGGTCAGATCGACGAAACCATCAAGTAGTTGAGAATCATGTGTATGAAACGAAATAAAAACAGCCACGAAGCGGTAGAGAGCCCTCTTTTCACGCTTTAGCATTTGATTTTGTAATCAGCAACGATCGAATGAGCAAACGTTGCAATTGTAGCTCGACGAAATGCGCGAGGGAGAAATGTGTGATGTATACGGCGTTGGTGCGATTTATCTGGGAAGATAAAATGCAACAGCGCGTGGAACTAAAGTTTCGAGCAAGCGCGAGCTAAGATATCGATTTTGCGCGAACGAACCGTTATAATATGAGAATACGGAGCCGTGTTACGTTAACCACGCGCGGACTACAACGATTAAATGATACGTAAATTTTGTACGATACGTAAATATGTAAATTTTTATCTCCATAGACTGTGTTACGGATGGCTTTCTAACGGATGTCATAGCAGAAAGATTGACTCCCCATCTCTGATCGATCGGCCGCCGAGTGAGCTTCTTGATCGTTCAATGATATCAAGTCCTACATCTATCGTGATATCGTTCGTGAATGCGATCGTAACGTTCGTCGCGACGATTCTCGAACGCCGTCGCCGTCAGACCCGTCGTAAAACTCTGTATGTAATTTGGACTTTTAATCCGGATTTACAATAGGTGTAATAGATGTAATAAGCTTTCAGGCTTTTGCTCAGAGGATTAAATTGTAACGTAATTTCTAATAAAAAGTGTTTCCGGCGCTATTCCAAAGATTTAAGATTTAAGCGTTATTTTATTGCTTAGAGAGCTAAAAAAAGCTTAAAAGTTGACTACATCTATTGTAGACACGGACTTGATTTACAACGTTCGCTTGACTTTGCAGCCAATTAGATGTTTCTAATGGAATATTAAAAACATCTGATTGATAGAGGATTGATAACGATTTGTAGACGACGTTTCTTTCCTAATGAATGATGTTACGACCGATGTAGACTTCTACACGAAAGAAAGCATAAAAACGTTCACGGATATGTATGATCGTACGTGTGAGAACGAGTATACGATTTGCACGTACTTACTAGTCGGCTGCTTGATCTATGGGCTGTGTCATTTTGTTTGATACTATAAAAAGATATATGTGTGAACGTTGTGTATTTGCGTGTCTCAGGGAGATTCTAATATAGAAGTCAATCCTAGAGTCACAACGTGATTTTGTTAGATAAAAGCCACAATATTCTTAAACGTAAGGGGCGGAGGGGGGGACTTTTTATTGTACAAGCGTAAGAGATATTACGTTGAAAAGGCCGATTCATGAGTTCAACGACATTATATAATATATATAAAGCTTATTATGCAATAAAGAAAATATATTTTGTAAAGAATTTTTCAGACGATGTTTTACGTTCAAGATTTGGACCATCGTCGATCTCACGTTGTGGTTCTAGAGTTAAAATACAAAGCTGTATATTGTAACGGTTTTTGCAGAAATAAATTATTGTAAATTGCCAGTCGGAATTTTTTCTCGGACGGATCGAGGAACTCCGTATGTTGAAATTGTTGTACGATAAGAAATCGCGATTTGTAGATCTCAATATCTACCGATATTCGGCTGATACTACAGCTCATCAAAATATCGGGCTTGATATCGGGAGATTATTTTCTTTATACGTGATACGTGTAATAGTGATAGAGAAGTACGAATTCCTTGTTTTCCAACTTCTTTATTAATATCGCACATATCATCTGCTATACTGACAAGAACAGTTTATCCCGATTGGCATCGGGACTTATAAAAAACGCTTACGATTTATTAAATCTGTACAATTGTTATATAACTGTAACCAATATAAAACAAAATATATTCAACTCCGCAGCGAGTCGTATGTACTCGTGTACATGAAACTTCGATGTACATAGGGTGTCCTGATCACCGCGCGCTTTCTCTCAGCAACGGGTGAAGATGAGAAGAAGTGACGATGAAAAAGGTTTCGGATTCTCTTCGCGACACTTATCGTTATTCCTTTTCAATTGATTCTCTGAACTCGATCGCGACGTGTGAAGGTGACCGAGCTACGAATAAGGAAGGATGAGCGAGGGCAAGTCCGCTGAGGGAAAGTGCGCGACGTCCGCGAGATATTCTTTATATATTGTGGTCTTTGTTCTCTAGAGCGAGTATTGGAGCAGCAATTTTCAGCTGCTCGCGCGCGCGCTCTTCCACGTTCCTCTTAATGCAACAATAATATCACAGTTTGGAGATCGACAGTCCGACGGACAGTGCGCGCTATGTACACGAAGAATGATGTTCCCTGTGTGCACGATGATGTGTATCCTCGTATAAAAGAATCGGCAGTTCGTCGCGCCGCAGTATTGCCAGCCAATGGTTTTCGTGCATTCCCCGGCTCCGCTGGCGCAACATCGCAGCCGTACTTGTTGTCCAGCAGTTCAGCGTGCAGTGGCTCGTCGTGCAGCTTTCCAATGCGCGATCACCTTAAAAATCACGTCCGCTAGCTGTTGAGGACGCAGGGCGCGGTGTCCATCTCCCGTACTGCCTGCGCCCACGCCTCCAGTCGAGGCGCGCACACCAAAATCAGATCGCCGAGGCGTCGCTTCGCCATTATCACGAATTCACCGAGGCCGTGCCGCGCGTCGCACGCCGTCGGGACCCGCACTCGTACGTTTCTCTTCGTCAACACCGTCTCGCCCTGTCGCAGTAAGAATTGCAATTCGGTTCGATTACACGACAGGTTCGAAAAAACCAATGAGAACAAAGGAATAATCTATCCTCTTATTTTATAATATCTAAATATAATATTCATAATATTAGATATCGAATGTAATATCTAAATAACTGGATAATTTATATATTTCTTTGTATTTATATTTATTTATACTTAGTTAATTAAGTTAGTAATTAATTATTTAATTGTTTAGATAATATATATGTATAAGATATAATATTATACATATATTGTAATATTTAAGTAACTAAATAAGCACGGTATGTGTAACAAAAGAAGTCTTTACCTCGGTCTCCTGCACTACTTGGCGTAGAATTTTAGTGACTCTGAGCACCAGTTCCGCAGCCTCCAGATCGAGCTGCTGTTGAACCGCGCTGACGGTCCCCCTAGCGACTAAGTCACTCTGGCAATAAGCCCTGGCGAGTTCCTCCATGGAACAAGGTCTGCACTCTTCCTCCTCGTCCGGCAGATGCAGCGCTCCTCCTTTCAACGAATTCGGCTCCAAATCATACTGCAGCCGAACTTTTGCTCTCCTGTAGGAAAAATCATCCTCCGCTTCCATATAGAGCGCAGCCATGTGCTTTCGCGAGCGGAAGCAGCGATGAGACAATTCGTGCTTGCCATCAGTTGGAGAATACAGTGGTCTCAATTTGCCATTGCCTTCCAGGAACACTCGTACTGGCCCGGAGATCTTGACGCAAGCACGGAAACCAGGATGGCCAGGGATAGAGTTCTCCGAGGACGAGACCGGGAAGGAGAGGACTATTCTCAGAGCTCCACGAGGATAACGCCACGACACCGTTCCTCGGGCACAGCGCAGGTACACCGGTCGGACACCACCATTTTCTCCTCCTCCACTGCACATGTACATACATATTTCAATTTTACATTTACCTTTGTTCATCACAATTATAACATTTAACAATATTAAGACCCGTATTAATAGTTTCCATTTGAAGCTCGTCTCACGTGAGATACTCAGATCTTTCATTCAGAATTAGATTGAATTTTTCAGTTGAATCTTATGATTATTATGATTATTTGACCTTATACCTGTAAATGCTGTTCAACTGAAAAACTTCACATCTAATTCTGAATTCAAATCTGCATGTCTCATTTGGGACAAGTTCCAAGTAACAATTATTAATACAGGTCTAAGTATTTAATAACAATAATCATTAAATATTAAATAACGAGTACCTGATAACAGTACTTAATATGATTTGACAATTCAATATTTAATATTATTTGGAAATTTAATATTTAATATTAATAATATTACTTATTAATAAATAATATTACTTATCATTATAGTATTTAATATAAGTATTAATTATTTATTAATATATGTTATTATTCAGTAATAAAATTTATTATTATATATAGTGATTACGATATCATTTAATATTATTGGAAAAATATTAATTGAAAACTAATTGAAACGTTTATATCCAAGCTCTTGTTGTCAGAATGTCAATAATAAATAAGGATTAGTGAGCATGTGCAACTTTATCAGATGATCCGAGATGATTTATGGATACAGAGTAGAAAATAAAAATATTAGAAAGCACTAACCTTCCGGACCAGTCACACTGGTCCACAGTGGTATGCTCGTAGGCGGACACAACGGTGAAAATCAGAGCGAAAGCCGTGATAGTCTTGTGTAACATTTTCAACGTTTACACATTCGTCGCAAATAAGCGATACACAACGCGTTCATATCTCCAATGCCTCTTCAAAGGCGCTTCCGTGGAAGTCGGGATCGCGATAAGGAAGAACGTCTCTCTCGTCCACATCCGAATTAAGTACACGAAGGATGATCCTGGGCGCGCGGCGTATCACCGAATAGCGCAGGTCCGCTTCGCGTGTGCCGAAGAAGGATCCCTCTCGGAGCAGGCCCAGATTCCCGGGGAAAAGCCGATCGTGGAACGTTCGAGCGCACTTTCCAGATGTTGCTCGCTCGCCGAGCAGGACGAGCGGTTTACAGGCGCGGGTCCAGGCGTGCGCCTGCTGATTTCGAATTCGTCGCGAAGGAAGCTGCGCGAGTGTCCACGAAGCAGCGGGAAGACGCAGGGTGCTTCCTCGCACGGTGGTTGGTCTCGAACACACGTCACGTAGGACCGTAAACACACGCGCACGCGTGCACACGCACACACGCAGGCTGCGTCGTCGATTGTCCTCGTTTTTAGAACGCAACCACCGAGAGTCCCGTCATCTTCGTCTGGCGCCTTACGACGTCTTGGCGAGGACACCGATTGGCAGGTCGCGGGGACGCGCTCCGACGCGATACTGCTCGACGTGTTCCGCGAATGGCGACCGAAAAGTATGCGTCATAGCGACGCCAGCCGCCGCCGTTCACCAGCGCGCGCTCGCTTTGTAAGCGCACCAGTCACAACCACCGAGCGGAGAAGCCGAAGGCGACCGAACGCGACGACGAGCCGAAGGGACTCGCTTCCGTCTAGGCGCGTGCGCGACGCCGAATCGGGGACACGCGTTATCGAGAGGAAAGGTAAACGCGTCGCTCCGGCATGTCGCCCGCTCAGGAACGGATTCGAAAGCGTGCTCATCGAGCTGGAACTTTTGAATTCCGCTGTGTCACGTCGAAATGTCGCGCTTTCTTCTCAGAATTCATCGAGCTTAGACTCGACTCTCCGACGGATAACTGGCGGAATTGCTAACGTCTATTTCAAGATGTGCGATTTACCGTTCGGTAACCGAAAAATTGATGATTTTCATTCTTACGAAACATAGCAGGTATTCATTGACTGATAACGGTTAAAAAAGAAATTGTCGATTAGGCCAGAGTTTTGTAAAAATCACCATCAACAGGCTACAGTTTTATTTATACTTTCGTTCATTTAACTTGATCTTCCTGAATCGCGTACGATGCTCGGTAGAATCGCGGAATTCAATTTTTGAATTTCGACTTTTGATTTTTCTTTAGTTGATGCTCGAAACGATGAGCGACATATGTGAGTGAAAATGGCAATAACAAAACCACGATTGAGTTCGAATTCAATATATGCGAGAGTTACTGACGCTACAAATAAATATAAAAGTAAAATTAATGCGAAGATAAATAATAAGAAATATATCTCCGCGTGATATTTTACTTCCGCAAGCGTGTCTGCTTTATGTTACACACGCGCCTTTCGCATTTCCTAAGGTGAAACCCACGCATAATGATCTATTTGAAATACTGTAATTTCCGTTTTTGCTATCGCGTGTAGCTTTCTAGCGATTACATTCCCGGAACCCGCAATCTCTCGGGCGAGATAGAGATTTACAAAGAGATAACAGGCTTTGCGTATGCGTTCGGTCCCGCGCGGGCCGCTCTTTGTATCGCCTTCATACGCGACTGTTTTATATCGGAACGAGCGAACGTCCAAGGCGAACGTTCACCGCTTACGATCACCGCTACATCCCCACTAAATCTTAAACTAGCCGGTCCACTGACGACGGGGATCCAGTTCTCCCCGCCAGTGTCACACAGGGCAGGGCTAAACTAGTTCTAGGACTAGGATCTCCGCAGCTCCGAGACGCATAGATGTATCTATCTACTATGTTAGCGACATTAGCGTCGGGTAACTCGAAACACCTGAAAAACATCGCTCACGCTTATATTTCCAGTCCCAGTAGATCACGACGAATGCTCCGACGACGAATAATAAACGCGAGCATCTCTCGCATAGCAATGCTTCCGCTTTGTTGGGTTTCCATATGTATCCTTTTTCTTTCTTCTTTATTTTTAATATCATACGCACCTCACAATTTGTAAATGTATACCTAGATTCAATACAACGATTGCAACTGTCATAACAGAATTTTACAGTACAATTACGACCTTAATACTGCAAATTCCTTCGCTTGATATAGTGTACGATGCGCTATATGATATGAGAAAAACTTTATTATGCGATACAGACTATCCGGCGTATCGGCGGTCGCCTTGAAACGCAGATTGATGAATATACGTACGGGACAACAATGAAGTTACATCCCTCTCTCTCTCTTTCTATCTATGAGAAAACGCAAATTGATAATTATCTAATACTCATATTAATAGTGGTCGCTTGAAATTTGTGTCACGTGAGATTCTCGGATTTGATTGGATTTAGAGTTGAATGTATGAATTTTCATTTGAATTGCGCCGTTACCAAACTCGTCATCCGTATCGTATGATTTGATCGGCAAAAGATCCAGATCTAATTTATTCAATTCAGATCCGAGTGTCTCGCGTGAGACGAGTTTCCAGTCAAGGACATAACGCTAAAAACAATTATACTACAGTTGTTCCATTCGAAGTATTTTTCGCGTGACGGTAAACGCGACATACTCGTATCTTTGCCTCGGTCAATTTGACTCGCTTTTATTGTTCAACGCCGAGTCGAGAAATTCGCTTATTTGATCCCGTCGTGTTAATACACAGAAGAATCTCATGGCCAATAATCACGCGGTATTTGCGGCGTTTTTATCGTGAATTTTTCCTAGTTACGATCATTTGTCTGTCGAGTTGATATCTAACACGTGTTTGCAGTATGTATGTGTGTGTGCGTGTGTATATGTGTGTGTGTATGTGATTTAATCTGCAGACTGGTCATCGTTTTTCACATTCGATTGATTTCAACTGGCATTGTTGTCCGGATAAATGAAATAAGTGGCTGACGTATGGGACTAGCATACAAATGCGCTTATTCTCGTTTCTCGTGTGATGTGAAGTAAGGATAAAGTGTAAACGCAAGAGCAAGGCTTTTACGTGGATAAAATGTAACACGCAAGACCAAGACTTGTATGTTCAGTTACTTTACGACGCGTAAAGAGCAACACGGTGTGTACGGCTCGTGGTTACATAATAATACTATATGATATAATTATGCAGTCGGGCAAAAAATGTGATTGTATAATCGACGAGGAGTGACAAGTGATCGTGGTAAACGGTAATTACGTAAAGAATGAATAATAATGCTACAGCGATACTATATAGACTTTTGTAGACTGATATTCGTAAAAGTGATTTTAATTTTGCACTAGCGACGAGCGTAACGATTTAAAAGGAGAACTGAGCAGCTCATTCATTGCGTTGCTCTCTAAGTAATGTGCAAAATTTGCGTGCGAAATATAATTATTCGTTAGTGCAAGTACTTTCCCGTGAATACGGTGCAAAATTGTTGACCTTATCCTTCTTTTTGCTCTTTTCTTTCTACGTATTTAGAAGTATTTACATTCGATCAACACAACAGTAATAAAAATTTACATTAGATATTTATACGTATGTTATGACGAATATTTTCGTGTTTTTCAACATCCTTTATATCCTCTTGACTAGATACAATAAGTCTTGCTAAACTTGTATTGCTCTGTTATTTCTAAAAGCATTCCACTTTGTCGTGTAATTTTTTATCATTTTTTTTACAAGTTAAAAAAGATATGAAACTCGCGAGATTTTGAAAATGTAGTACTATTTATACTGAAATATTAAGCACTGGGAAGCCCTAATTTAAATCTCTTATGTTAAAAAAAGTATTTTAAAAAACATTTAACAAATGAATCACTGTAAACGCCCAAAAAAAGATTAATATATGCTTTGTGGAAATGTATAACTGTGATAAAATGATAATTTATATATGTGTTTTTATGACAAATTTTGTATCTGTAATTTATTACATAAAATATTATGCACTGTGCGTATAATAAAAGTATAATTTAAAAACTTTTTTAGCATCAAATTCCCTTTTTTTTCAAAGATATGTTAATAATTATAATACATAAAATTTCATATAAGTAATTTTGTATATTAAAAATTTTGTATCAATATTA